TTGATGTGTCCCTGATTCCACACAACTCAGTCCAGTGGCTGATCTACTATCTAAGTGTGCAGTGAAGTTGTTGAGAGTCCTGCTAATTACCTAATTATTTGACTCTGGTGTGCTGAAGCAGAAACGTATCTAAAATCTGCAGGACACCGGCCCTGAAGGCCTGGCTTTGAGGATCACTGGTTTAGGTGTTTCCTTTCTGCCGCATAGACCTGAATAAGTGGGTGCAGTAAAGCTGTATGTAACTTTTATTAAAATACCCCCAACTTTTTTTACATATTTTTTAAATGTCCACTATATTGCGATAACAAGCCTTAGCACGATGCTCCCAGTGCTAACTGGAAACGACCAGTCAGGAGGAGGGCGTCAGCGATGTCAATCATCCTTGTATATGACCTGCTCAACCCCGCTTCACCTTCTCCATTTGCTCTCTTCTACCAGCAGAGCCTGTCATGTATGTTCAGCATAGAATAGTGAATAAACAGTTTTTCTGGAAAGGTAAGTTGATTTTTCACCATATGCACATTTAGTAGCGTGTTTATTGACAATTCTAGTACCTTCTGATTGTTTTTGAACACCAGCAGTGCAGTCAGTCAGATGACAATAGTAGCCCTGGCAGAAGATGGAGAAGCAAAATCTTTGCACAGATTATGTGTCTCATCTTGTATTGTCACAACATTGTGACAGTTTTAACAAGTATGTAATAATCTCTACTCTATGCACAGTCAGATGGTTTTTGGCATCATGTACATGAGCTTGATTGAAAAGAAGAAAAAAAATTAGATAAATTCTCCCAGATTGGAGATTTTCAGGAAGCCAAAAATGCATCAGAGACTTGAGACATGAGAGGCAACTTCGTTCTCTCTCCATTTTCTATGGAACTTGTGCAATGAGGAGAAAATCAGCTGCACTCCTCCAGCTAAGCCATCAAGAATATTTACATGTAAAACTTCAAGTTCGTACATGGAGATGTACACATGTGGGTTAGCAATGAAACACAAGACAATTAAAAAATGTCCAACTTTTGGTGATGTCACTGCTGTTGCTATCAAATTCTTATATACTGGAAGAGTTTTTGTGTGTTTTGGAGCTGACATGTCATGATACCAGTTGGTTAGCACACTGAAGTTTATAACCATGGAATGAGAGTACAATTAATATATTAATATAATTAATATCATTGTATTGTTCTCAGGCTCCATGGTTTATTTGTGTTCTAAACATAGTGGTGGAAGATTAAACTGTGCTTTAATGCATTCACTTAAAAGTAGTTTGAATTCAAAGATAATGATGCCAGTTTACAATATCTGTAACATACATGCCATGAATTGTCCCTGTGTGTGATTAAATATGGAAATAAAGTGCAGGGAACTGAAGGTAAGTATTACCCAAGAAAATTCAGACAAAATATGATGTCAGGAGATTATTTAATGTTGATGTTGATGTCTATGATGGAATATGTCTACTGTTACAACCCCTCCGCGAGACCAATAAGGGTAAATTCTGGCACCGGGTGTAACACAGAAATCAGTAATCTGAACAATTGATGTCAGTAGCAAAATATTGTTTATTTTGCAGTTCAGGTAAAACCTCAATCACAACAGGTAGAAAACACTGGGAGGCTTTAAGCTTCCCAAGGCCAAAATAATGAACAAAAGACTCTCTGTTTTAACTATGAAATTAAAAATAACTTTCTAGAGGTGAAGTGGAAAAAAGTACAAAATCTGAACTCCCTGTCTAACCACAAAACAGGAGAAAACAGTTAAACAAAATGGCAGAGAACCACTACCAGCTGCCACTGTGAATAGAAACACAATTTTAGTTAGACACCTGATTGTCCACAATATTCGCACATCAAAATAATTTAAATCCCCACAAGCAGTCAGCTCACAGTCAAGATCACTGCAGATCAAGGTCCAGGGAAAAAGGGATCTGACAGCTCTGGTATGAAGCTGTTTATGGGGAGGCTGACAAGCTCCAACACAATACACCTGTGGCAGCCAGGTAGAACTGAAATACATACAAAGACAGAGCTCTCTCATGAAGAGAGCCCCTAGAGGTCAGTGACCGTAACATCTACATAGATTATATACAGTGAATTACTGAACGATCAATTAGAGGCCTGGGAGCCTTCTCTAAAAGATTTCTAATCTGGATTAAAAATCCAAAATTAATCAAGACTGTTCTTAGACCAAGACGTGACTTCAAACCCTTTTAGCTTTCAGACGTAACAAACTCTAACCCTGCGGTTACTGATGCAGGTTAAGAGAGATTATTTGCAAGAACAAAGTCTAAGCCAAACATAAGCCCAGAGACGCTCAGATATCCTGTGATTTAATGAACTGGCCAGAGAATTAGATAGAAGATGGAAATACAAGAAGTTTCACTTTTAGTCCAGCAACATGACAATTACAGCATTCACCATGTTTTCTTTTTCTTTCTTAATTTTTTTTCACTAACTTTCCTTTGCTTTCCAACAATTTTCCTGACATATCTTTAGCTTATTTGATGTTTTGTTCACTTTTCTCTTCAACGACTGATATTTCCATTTCTTTTATTTTTGTCAGATGCTGTAGATCTAAAACTTGATGGAAAAACAGCAGGCCGACGGCTTCTTCTGTCTGAAAACAACAAAGAAGCAAAAACTATACTCAATATTAGCAATAGGGTTTCACAACAAGAAAATGAGGAGAGATTTAAGAGGACCCAGGTTCTTTGTGAGGAGAGTCTAAAATGCATCTCCTACTGGGAAGTGGAATGGACTGGCAAGGTGGGGATTGCAGTGGCGTATAAAACTGTGGGCAGAGAACGAAGCGCCGGTGGTCTGGGCTGCAATGACTGGTCCTGGTGTTTGATATGTTCCAAGACTGAATGTGTTGCCTTACATGGAACGGATCGACTCAATGTTAGGATTAAACCGTGCCATAAAATAGCCGTATTGCTTGACTGGCAGGTTGGTACACTGAGTTATTTTAACATGTCTTCTGGAAATCTGAGTCTGATTCACACTTTCTATGCAAAATTCACAAAGGAGCTTTTTGCAGGTTTCTGGTTTCAGAAAGGCTCCGTGACTTTATGTGAAATATAATAAAATAAATAAATAAATGCAAACCTATTAGTTTTAGCTGTTGTTTTAGTAGCTTATGGTAATGTATGTATTCTTACATTAAGAGAACATGTTGTATTTTCACTTTATGTTACTTTACTATTTAAATAAATAATTTGGGAGATTTGTTAAAACTTATCGATGATCAAAGGAACACTTTCAAACACACAACTAACTCCAAATGCAATGTATATCGAGAAACATTATCTAAATAAAGATAAGAAAGATGCAGTATCATCATGTTTTTGTGCTCAGCATTAAAACTAATCTAAATGGATTAAACAAAAATATAAAACTTCAGGAAATAATGAAGTTAAAAAACTGGATATAAGCTTCAGCATAAAAAGTAAAACTAAAACATGCAGGTCATGTCTATGAAAAAAAGCTGGAAGTGATAATGAGTGCAATAAAAATGTGAATTGCAGAACATGCCTGTGTGTCCTTTGAAATTGAAGCTATCCTTGGATGACGTTTTATTATCATGTGAATGTGGTTTGTCTAAACCTCTGCAGTGAAATGTCTCTACTATAAAACTACTATAAAACTACCTGTAACTGTAAAATAAAGTGGCTTGACGCAGTCATGCATATAATTCACACCACAGCTACTGTCAACTACAATTAGTCTGAGAAAAAGCAGGAACCTTGTGAAAAAACAAGCTTCTAAATATATCTTACATTTGCATTCTATAATTAATCAATATTAGACTTTTATTCATTGAATGTAAAAATTGCTGCAGTTTTTTCTGATAAGTCTTCTCATGTGATATAATAGGACATATGATTATAGAGGACAAGGTAATGTTACACAATCTAGAAATGCATGTAAGCTCAGCGCAAAAGAATAAAATCACCACAATCTAAACTTCAATGAAAGGATCCTCAAATTTAATTATACAACACATTTCACCAACAAGGAAGTTCAAAGGGCTTCACATCATAAAAACATATCATAGAAAACACAGGCAATAATTGAAACATAACATATTTTCTTGTGGCAGCATTAAACTTCAGGATGTTTCATTTATGTTTCAAAAGCAGCTGCTAAATCCATTTCAGACTCTGAAGAATATAGAGAGGAGAGTACAACCATGTCAAGATGGAGAACCAGTTTTTAGATATTAAAAGCTGAAGGATCTGAGTTGGTCACATCTCACAAAATGAGGGTTTGAGCTTTTGATCTAAATTTAAAGATATGGCCTTTTAAAGTATGAAAAATACTTTTAAAGAATGTGCTTAGATATTAATTGTTTACTTCTCTCTTCCATATTTACATTTTACTCCAGAATTACGAGAGACTTTCAAGTCCAAGGATTTTATTTTATTATTGATATTCCATTCTTACTTATGAACTAAATAACCGGAACTAAATAAATAAATAAATTGAATGTATTATTTTGTCTCCTGAAACTGTACATTCTCTATATGATTCTGGAAGACATAGGAAACATGGACCTGCTATCGGCATGTTTTGTTATCATTACTGTGTTAACAAGATATTACACATTTGGTTCTTAAAGAAATAAAACAGAGTTCATTGATCAAACTTTTTATGGCACCAAAAAAAAAAAAAACATTAAGACAACGCAAAGCAGAAAATAATATAGATTTTTTTGACACAAGGGAAATGCAGAATAACACACTTTGATGTGAATTTAACATGAACTAAATTGTAATGAATACTTAGGAGATCATAGAAGACATGACCTGTAAGAAGTTTGTTATAAAGGTAGTTTTGAGCTTAATCTTTGACTCTCATACTGAAAGATTTATAACAGGAAATGTTCTTGGATTTAGATATCAAGGCCAAAGTTCTTGTACTAATGCTGTTAAATATTAACTTTTCTCTTTGGAAGAAATCTGGTGACAGAGTTCAGTCATCAGTCAGAAGACTTTCATACAGATCTCCTCCTTTTTCATAGATTGCTACTTTTCAGGCGTCTATGACTGTGTTTTTGCAAGAAGAAAAAAATACTGAAGCAAGATGTCTAGTATGAAGTAACCTATGAAGATAAAATGCAATCCTAGTGAAAAGTGAGGAGCTCTAAAACAAAATGTCTGAGGAAGAGGATGGGATCATGTCAGGTGGGACGTAAGTGAAGCTTTTTTGTTTTAAGTCTTTTCTGAAAAAGGTCCTCAAAAGAAAAAGTAATAAGTAATGATAAACTGATCATTATTATTAAGGATTTTCAAAAATTACATCTTATAACTTAAAGATTGTTTTATTGAAAGACGAATTAGCAACGCAATTTGCCTAAAAGTAGTTTTATATTACACATAAATTTAGTAGTGTTAATGTGGCATGTTTGGAAAATTCCCCACAAATTCTATGGTTTGTTTGAAGACACTGTGTGACATTAGTCCCTAAAGAGACTTTGTAATTCTTTCTTAATTTAATTTATTCAACCTTCTTGTAAAGATTTGCAGAAACAAATGTACAGATTGAAGAATATATAGTAATACAGATTTAAGTTAATGAATAATATGTGGTTTTTGTTAAATTCTGTCCAAACGGCTTTTTTTGAAAGAAAAATCTTTCATTCTGAACTTTACTTTCTCAGCAGTTTTTGTTTTATTGTTGGTTTTATTGAACACGGCCCAATTTAGCTATGGCTGTAATTTTCAGACTGAGGGCTAACAAACGCTCACAGATCACCTAATTTGAAAATACCCTGACAATAACACAACATGTCAATATATACAACCTGAAACAAAAATATTAGTCTCTTAATATCCTTATTATTGTTCTCTTTGTTTATCCTAATGATAAAGTTGAAGCTGTTTAGAAAATGAGAAAAGCCACGACAAAAACAAGTTGACATTTGAGTTTTTACAGATTCTGAAAGAGTGAATCCTAAGTTTTCCAATGATCTCAGATACATGGAAATAAAAAAAAGGTGTTGTTCTTTAAGTGTTGTGTGCATTAATAACATTTAGGGATCTTTGTAATTTGCAAGCACAATAAAAGAAAAACAGAGACATGAATTGCTTTGGCAGAAAGCAAAATTCATTTTCCGCTCAGTTAAATATAAAAATTATCCACTCTATCATTAATTTATTTGTTGTATTTAATTACATTAATTCAATAATTTTTAATTAGATAAAATAATAAGAGCATTTAGAAACAGGTCTGGCACAAGGATCCAATTTTCTGATCAAAGGACATAAAAGAAACTATTTATCTTTTGTGTTTAAGTTCACAAGATGACAAAGAACCAGAGTCTCCTGGACCAACTGATGTTATTACATCTTATAATGTACCAAGGTAAGATATGTCAGCAAAACATTCACAGACGAAAAGTTAATTTGATACACAAAAACTCTTTGCTGCCAGAAGATGAAGATATTTTTTAATGTAACAAACTGATGCTGAAAAAGTGAGTCCAAGAGGAATGAGATCTATAAACCATGATGTTCTGTAGGAGATGTTAAGATGGATCATTTTCTATGTCTTTATTAGGGAAGATTAACTACCAATCAGTACAAAACTGATGTGAGTCATCACAAAGTTTCTGTTTCTTGCACTAAAAAACTATAAAAGTGGTTTCAGACTCAAGTTGTTTCGGCATGTAGCTTCTTCAGCATTGAAATGGAGAAATAACAACATTGTCAGCAATAAGTTAATAATTTATAATAGTCATAGGTCATAAAAGATGCAGCTTGTGTGGCTGTATCTATGATGGAAAATAGTCATTAAAGATGGCATCTTTTCAGGCCCACTGGTTCCACTGGGCCAAAGTACTGAAAGAGTTCAGGTATTGGGAGTTTTGTCTCTGGCATTCTTTTTTCGCTGGATTCTTGTTTATGTTCTGCTGAAATTAATGTTTTTGCAAAGTGACTTGAGACATTCATTAATTACTGCTACATAAATTGAATCGATACTATTTTTGTTTTTAAAGTAAATGCAAAACATAGAAAAAACAATAATAGATTCATTACTTACAATATTTAAAAGATATTTACATGCAAAAGTGTCATTTTCTTCTTCACCAAACGGACAATTATCCTAGGGGAAGCAAATCCTAAATTTCAAATATTTAAAAAATCAATATATGAAAGTGTGTCATTTTAGCCTAGATACATCGGAGAATGGAAATGAAATAATTTCCAATTATATACATGTATCTGGCCATTTAGTGGATAATTTAATAACTTCTAATTAAGTATAAATATAACTAACAATAGCTGTAGACGGGCGAGCAGAGCATTATTTATTGCGACATCTGAATTTATTCAAATAATTTAAGAATTAAACTATTAGCCTAAAACTACATTGTAGAGGTGAAATATTTGTCAATGCCAGACGTTTTATTTAATCACATTGTTAATCTGAAATATTTTAAGGGGAAAATGATTTTGATTTGTTAGAGCTTGTCTATAAAAATTTTTGCTATTTTTCTTGTAGCTTACCTCAGGACCAAACTACAAACTCTTCTTCAGTGAGTTTGAAAAGTGACAGATCCAAGGATGAAGCTTTAAATTTTCACTGTGAAGATGAAAGGTAGGACACTTTGGTAAAATTTCATGTATTTTCTTAGTAAAACACAATAAACAGCAGCACAATGTACACTAGTTGGTAACACAGTGAATTGTGCTCAAAAGATAGTCCATAGATTTTGAAACTTTTGAACATTATTTTAATGCCAAGAGTATTATGTTCATTGGGAAATTATGCAAAGAAATATAAACAGAAACAATGACAAGACATAGTTTAAATAAAAATCAGGTGGATAATTTCAATAGAAAGTCATGCCCTGTTCTTTGAGTTTTCATGAACACTTTAAATAATATAGGAAAACCTGCATCAAACAACTTGCACTTATATTTTGTTTGAAAATATAAGTGCAAGTTATTTCTTATTTGAATGTAAGTTGATCTTCTTGGTATGTTTTGCAGAAATAAATTAAAAGTTTTAAAATGATTTAGTAATACAGAAAAAAGTTACTGAACTATAGTTTTTTTCAATGTTTTTGTTTAATTTAGTCCATTCTGTTGTTTTTCAAAGGAAAATCTTTCGCCCCAAACCCTCATTTCTGATCTGTTTTGACTTTGTTGTTGATTTTATAAAGCACTGCACAATTTACTTTTGTGGACAGTACTTAAATGCACATCTAAATAATATTTATATCTGATGAAATCTGTATGCAATTAAATGATTACAAGTAAGATTGGCATTTAAAGTTTTTATTTGTTCAGCCATTGAAGAGAATCAGCCAAGAAAATTCAGGAAGCTTTTCATTTGCAACATCATGTTTTGGTCATTTGTATTTTACATAAAATCATTATATGAAAATCAAGATAATGAAAGTGAAGATCACTGAATAGAAAAATAAAATAAAATCAATTTTTGCTAAGAAACCTTAAATTGTGTGAGTCAAAACCAGTTAGTAGAAAAAAGTATATAGTTGGTCAAATAATAATAGAACCAAATTATTTTTTATTGGAAACATGTACTGCAGTGTTTTGGTTTAGAAACAGGTCTGGCACAAGGATCCAATTTTCTGATCAAAGGACATAAAAGAAACTATTGTTTCTTTTGTGTTAAAGTTCACAAGATGACAAAGAACCAGAGTCTCCTGGACCAACTGATGTTATTACATCTTATAATGTACCAAGGTAAGATATGTCAGCAAAACATTCACAGAAGAAAAGTTAACTTGATACACAAAAACTCTTTGCTGCCAGAAGATGAAGATATTTTTTAATGTAACAAACTGATGCTGAAAAAGTGAGTCCAAGAGGAATGAGATCTATAAACCATGATGTTCTGTAGGAGATGTTAAGGTGGATCATTTTCTATTTCTTTATTAGGGAAGATTAACTACCAATCAGTACAAAACTGATGTGAGTCATCACAAAGTTTCTGTTTCTTGCACTAAAAAACTATAAAAGTGGTTTCAGACTCAAGTTGTTTCGGCATGTAGCTTCTTCAGCATTGAAATGGAGAAATAACAACATTGTCAGCAATAAGTTAATAATTTATAATAGTCATAGGTCATAAAAGATGCAGCTTGTGTGGCTGTATCTATGATGGAAAATAGTCATTAAAGATGGCATCTTTTCAGGCCCACTGGTTCCACTGGGCCAAAGTACTGAAAGAGTTCAGGTATTGGGAGTTTTGTCTCTGGCATTCTTTTTTCACTGGATTCTTGTTTATGTTCTGCTGAAATTAATGTTTTTGCAAAGTGACTTGAGACATTCATTAATTACTGCTACATAAATTGAATCGATACTATTTTTGTTTTTAAAGTAAATGCAAAACATAGAAAAAACAATAATAGATTCATTACTTACAATATTTAAAAGATATTTACATGCAAAAGTGTCATTTTCTTCTTCACCAAACGGACAATTATCCTAGGGGAAGCAAATCCTAAATTTCAAATATTTAAAAAATCAATATATGAAAGTGTGTCATTTTAGCCTAGATACATCGGAGAATGGAAATGAAATAATTTCCAATTATATACATGTATCTGGCCATTTAGTGGATAATTTAATAACTTCTAATTAAGTATAAATATAACTAACAATAGCTGTAGACGGGCGAGCAGAGCATTATTTATTGCGACATCTGAATTTATTCAAATAATTTAAGAATTAAACTATTAGCCTAAAACTACATTGTAGAGGTGAAATATTTGTCAATGCCAGACGTTTTATTTAATCACATTGTTAATCTGAAATATTTTAAGGGGAAAATGATTTTGATTTGTTAGAGCTTGTCTATAAAAATATTTTGCTATTTTTCTTGTAGCTTACCTCAGGACCAAACTACAAACTCTTCTTCAGTGAGTTTGAAAAGTGACAGATCCAAGGATGAAGCTTTAAATTTTCACTGTGAAGATGAAAGGTAGGACACTTTGGTAAAATTTCATGTATTTTCTTAGTAAAACACAATAAACAGCAGCACAATGTACACTAGTTGGTAACACAGTGAATTGTGCTCAAAAGATAGTCCATAGATTTTGAAACTTTTGAACATTATTTTAATGCCAAGAGTATTATGTTCATTGGGAAATTATGCAAAGAAATATAAACAGAAACAATGACAAGACATAGTTTAAATAAAAATCAGGTGGATAATTTCAATAGAAAGTCATGCCCTGTTCTTTGAGTTTTCATGAACACTTTAAATAATATAGGAAAACCTGCATCAAACAACTTGCACTTATATTTTGTTTGAAAATATAAGTGCAAGTTATTTCTTATTTGAATGTAAGTTGATCTTCTTGGTATGTTTTGCAGAAATAAATTAAAAGTTTTAAAATGATTTAGTAATACAGAAAAAAGTTACTGAACTATAGTTTTTTTCAATGTTTTTGTTTAATTTAGTCCATTCTGTTGTTTTTAAAGGAAAATCTTTTGCCCCAAACCCTCATTTCTGATCTGTTTTGATTTTGTTGTTGATTTTATAAAGCACTGCACAATTTACTTTTGTGGACAGTACTTAAATGCACATCTAAATAATATTTATATCTGATGAAATCTGTATGCAATTAAATGATTACAAGTAAGATTGGCATTTAAAGTTTTTATTTGTTCAGCCATTGAAGAGAATCAGCCAAGAAAATTCAGGAAGCTTTTCATTTGCAACATCATGTTTTGGTCATTTGTATTTTACATAAAATCATTATATGAAAATCAAGATAATGAAAGTGAAGATCACTGAATAGAAAAATAAAATAAAATCAATTTTTGCTAAGAAACCTTAAATTGTGTGAGTCAAAACCAGTTAGTAGAAAAAAGTATATAGTTGGTCAAATAATAATAGAACCAAATTATTATTTTTATTGGAAACATGTACTGCAGTGTTTTGGTTTAGAAACAGGTCTGGCACAAGGATCCAATTTTCTGATCAAAGGACATAAAAGAAACTATTTATCTTTTGTGTTTAAGTTCACAAGATGACAAAGAACCAGAGTCTCCTGGACCAACTGATGTTATTACATCTTATAATGTACCAAGGTAAGATATGTCAGCAAAGCATTCACAGACGAAAAGTTAATTTGATACACAAAAACTCTTTGCTGCCAGAAGATGAAGATATTTTTTAATGTAACAAACTGATGCTGAAAAAGTGAGTCCAAGAGGAATGAGATCTATAAACCATGATGTTCTGTAGGAGATGTTAAGATGGATCATTTTCTATGTCTTTATTAGGGAAGATTAAATATCAATCAGTACAAAACTGATGTGAGTCATCACAAAGTTTCTGTTTCTTGCACTAAAAAAATAAAAGTGGTTTCAGACTCAAGTTGTTTCGGCATGTAGCTTCTTCAGCATTGAAATGGAGAAATAACAACATTGTCAGCAATAAGTTAATAATTTATAATAGTCATAGGTCATAAAAGATGCAGCTTGTGTGGCTGTATCTATGATGGAAAATAGTCATTAAAGATGGCATCTTTTCAGGCCCACTGGTTCCACTGGGCCAAAGTACTGAAAGAGTTCAGGTATTGGGAGTTTTGTCTCTGGCATTCTTTTTTCGCTGGATTCTTGTTTATGTTCTGCTGAAATTAATGTTTTTGCAAAGTGACTTGAGACATTCATTAATTACTGCTACATAAATTGAATCGATACTATTTTTTAAAAAAGTAAATTCAAAGCATAGAAAAAACAATAATAGATTCATAACTTACAATATTTAAAAGATATTTACATGCAAAAGTGTCATTTTCTTCTTCACCAACGGACAATTATCCTAGGGGAAGCAAATCCTAAATTTCAAATATTTAAAAAATCAATATATGAAAGTGTGTCATTTTAGCCTAGATACATCGGAGAATGGAAATGAAATAATTTCCAATTATATACATGTATCTGGCCATTTAGTGGATAATTTAATAACTTCTAATTAAGTATAAATATAACTAACAATAGCTGTAGACGGGCGAGCAGAGCATTATTTATTGCGACATCTGAATTTATTCAAATAATTTAAGAATTAAACTATTAGCCTAAAACTACATTGTAGAGGTGGAATATTTGTCAATGCCAGACGTTTTATTTAATCACATTGTTAATCTGAAATATTTTAAGGGGAAAATGATTTTGATTTGTTAGAGCTTGTCTATAAAAATATTTTGCTATTTTTCTTGTAGCTTACCTCAGGACCAAACTACAAACTCTTCTTCAGTGAGTTTGAAAAGTGACAGATCCAAGGATGAAGCTTTAAATTTTCACTGTGAAGATGAAAGGTAGGACACTTTGGTAAAATTTCATGTATTTTCTTAGTAAAACACAATAAACAGCAGCACAATGTACACTAGTTGGTAACACAGTGAATTGTGCTCAAAAGATAGTCCATAGATTTTGAAACTTTTGAACATTATTTTAATGCCAAGAGTATTATGTTCATTGGGAAATTATGCAAAGAAATATAAACAGAAACAATGACAAGACATAGTTTAAATAAAAATCAGGTGGATAATTTCAATAGAAAGTCATGCCCTGTTCTTTGAGTTTTCATGAACACTTTAAATAATATAGGAAAACCTGCATCAAACAACTTGCACTTATATTTTGTTTGAAGATATAAGTGCAAGTTATTTCTTATTTGAATGTAAGTTGATCTTCTTGGTATGTTTTGCAGAAATAAATTAAAAGTTTTAAAATGATTTAGTAATACAGAAAAAAGTTACTGAACTATAGTTTTTTTCAATGTTTTTGTTTAATTTAGTCCATTCTGTTGTTTTTCAAAGGAAAATCTTTCGCCCCAAACCATCATTTCTGATCTGTTTTGACTTTGTTGTTGATTTTATAAAGCACTGCACAATTTACTTTTGTGGACAGTACTTAAATGCACATCTAAATAATATTTATATCTGATGAAATCTGTATGCAATTAAATGATTACAAGTAAGATTGGCATTTAAAGTTTTTATTTGTTCAGCCATTGAAGAGAATCAGCCAAGAAAATTCAGGAAGCTTTTCATTTGCAACATCATGTTTTGGTCATTTGTATTTTACATAAAATCATTTTATGAAAATCAAGATAATGAAAGTGAAGATCACTGAATAGAAAAATAAAATAAAATCAATTTTTGCTAAGAAACCTTAAATTGTGTGAGTCAAAACCAGTTAGTAGAAAAAAGTATATAGTTGGTCAAATAATAATAGAACCAAATTATTATTTTTATTGGAAACATGTACTGCAGTGTTTTGGTTTAGAAACAGGTCTGGCACAAGGATCCAATTTTCTGATCAAAGGACATAAAAGAAACTATTTATCTTTTGTGTTAAAGTTCACAAGATGACAAAAAACCAGAGTCTCCTGGACCAACTGATGTTATTACATCTTATAATGTACCAAGGTAAGATATGTCAGCAAAGCATTCACAGACGAAAAGTTAATTTGATACACAAAAACTCTTTGCTGCCAGAAGATGAAGATATTTTTTAATGTAACAAACTGATGCTGAAAAAGTGAGTCCAAGAGGAATGAGATCTATAAACCATGATGTTCTGTAGGAGATGTTAAGATGGATCATTTTCTATGTCTTTATTAGGGAAGATTAAATATCAATCAGTACAAAACTGATGTGAGTCATCACAAAGTTTCTGTTTCTTGCACTAAAAAACTATAAAAGTGGTTTCAGACTCAAGTTGTTTCGGCATGTAGCTTCTTCAGCATTGAAATGGAGAAATAACAACATTGTCAGCAATAAGTTAATAATTTATAATAGTCATAGGTCATAAAAGATGCAGCTTGTGTGGCTGTATCTATGATGGAAAATAGTCATTAAAGATGGCATCTTTTCAGGCCCACTGGTTCCACTGGGCCAAAGTACTGAAAGAGTTCAGGTATTGGGAGTTTTGTCTCTGGCATTCTTTTTTCGCTGGATTCTTGTTTATGTTCTGCTGAAATTAATGTTTTTGCAAAGTGACTTGAGACATTCATTAATTACTTCTACATAAATTGAATCGATACTATTTTTAAAAAAAAGTAAATTCAAAGCATAGAAAAAACAATAATAGATTCATTACTTACAATATTTAAAATATATTTACATGCAAAAGTGTCATTTTCTTCTTCACCAAACGGACAATTATCCTAGGGGAAGCAAATCCTAAATTTCAAATATTTAAAAAATCAATATATGAAAGTGTGTCATTTTAGCCTAGATACATCGGAGAATGGAAATGAAATAATTTCCAATTATATACATGTATCTGGCCATTTAGTGGATAATTTAATAACTTCTAATTAAGTATAAATATAACTAACAATAGCTGTAGACGGGCGAGCAGAGCATTATTTATTGCGACATCTGAATTTATTCTAATAATTTAAGAATTAAACTATTAGCCTAAAACTACATTGTAGAGGTGAAATATTTGTCAATGCCAGACGTTTTATTTAATCACATTATTAATCTGAAATATTTTAAGGGGAAAATGATTTTGATTTGGTAGAGCTTGTCTATAAAAATATTTTGCTATTTTTCTTGTAGCTTACCTCAGGACCAAACTACAAACTCTTCTTCAGTGAGTTTGAAAAGTGACAGATCCAAGGATGAAGCTTTAAATTTTCACTGTGAAGATGAAAGGTAGGACACTTTGGTAAAATTTCATGTATTTTCTTAGTAAAACACAATAAACAGCAGCACAATGTACACTAGTTGGTAACACAGTGAATTGTGCTCAAAAGATAGTCCATAGATTTTGAAACTTTTGAACATTATTTTAATGCAGAGTATTATGTTCATTGGGAAATTATGCAAAGAAATATAAACAGAAACAATGACAAGACATAGTTTAAATAAAAATCAGGTGGATAATTTCAATAGAAAGTCATGCCCTGTTCTTTGAGTTTTCATGAACACTTTAAATAATATAGGAAAACCTGCATCAAACAACTTGCACTTATATTTTGTTTGAAGATATAAGTGCAAGTTATTTCTTATTTGAATGTAAGTTGATCTTCTTGGTATGTTTTGCAGAAATAAATTAAAAGTTTTAAAATGATTTAGTAATACAGAAAAAGTTACTGAACTGTAGTTTTTTTCAATGTTTTTGTTTAATTTAGTCCATTCTGTTGTTTTTAAAGGAAAATCTTTCGCCCCAAACCATCATTTCTGATCTGTTTTGACTTTGTTGTTGATTTTATAAAGCACTGCACAATTTACTTTTGTGGACAGTACTTAAATGCACATCTAAATAATATTTATATCTGATAAAATCTATATGCAATTAAATGATTACAAGTAAGACTGGCATTTAAAGTTGTTATTTGTTCAGCCATTGAAGAGAATCAGCCCAGAAAATTCAGGAAGCTTTTCATTTGCAACATCATGTTTGGTCATTTGTATTTTACATAAAATCATTATATGAAAATCAAGATAATGAAAGTGAAGATCACTGAATAGAAAAATAAAATAAAATCAATTTTTGCTAAGAAACCTTAAATTGTGTGAGTCAAAACCAGTTAGTAGAAAAAAGTATATAGTTGGTCAAATAATAATAGAACCAAATTATTATTTTTATTGGAAACATGTACTGCAGTGTTTTGGTTTAGAAACAGGTCTGGCACAAGGATCCAATTTTCTGATCAAAGGACATAAAAGAAACTATTTATCTTTTGTGTTTAAGTTCACAAGATGACAAAGAACCAGAGTCTCCTGGACCAACTGATGTTATTACATCTTATAATGTACCAAGGTAAGATATGTCAGCAAAGCATTCACAGACGAAAAGTTAATTTGATACACAAAAACTCTTTGCTGCCAGAAGATGAAGATATTTTTTAATGTAACAAACTGATGCTGAAAAAGTGAGTCCAAGAGGAATGAGATCTATAAACCATGATGTTCTGTAGGAGATGTTAAGATGGATCATTTTCTATGTCTTTATTAGGGAAGATTAACTACCAATCAGTACAAAACTGATGTGAGTCATCACAAAGTTTCTGTTTCTTGCACTAAAAAACTATAAAAGTGGTTTCAGACTCAAGTTGTTTCGGCATGTAGCATCTTCAGCATTGAAATGGAGAAATAACAACATTGTCAGCAATAAGTTAATAATTTATAATAGTCATAGGTCATAAAAGATGCAGCTTGTGTGGCTGTATCTATGATGGAAAATAGTCATTAAAGATGGCATCTTTTCAGGCCCACTGGTTCCACTGGGCCAAAGTACTGAAAGAGTTCAGGTATTGGGAGTTTTGTCTCTGGCATTCTTTTTTCACTGGATTCTTGTTTATGTTCTGCTGAAATTAATGTTTTTGCAAAGTGACTTGAGACATTCATTAATTACTGCTACATAAATTGAATCGATACTATTTTTAAAAAAAAGTAAATTCAAAGCATAGAAAAAACAATAATAGATTCATTACTTACAATATTTAAAATATATTTACATGCAAAAGTGTCATTTTTTTCTTACCAAACGGACAATTATCCTAGGGGAAGCAAATCCTAAATTTCAAATATTTAAAAAATCAATATATGAAAGTGTGTCATTTTAGCCTAGATACATCGGAGAATGGAAATGAAATAATTTCCAATTATATGCATGTATCTGGCCATTTAGTGGATAATTTAATAACTTCTAATTAAGTATAAATATAACTAACAATAGCTGTAGACGGGCGAGCAGAGCATTATTTATTGCGACATCTGAATTTATTCAAATAATTTAAGAATTAAACTATTAGCCTAAAACTACATTGTAGAGGTGAAATATTTGACAATGCCAGACGTTTTATTTAATCACATTGTTAATCTGAAATATTTTAAGGGGAAAATGATTTTGATTTGGTAGAGCTTGTCTATAAAAATATTTTGCTATTTTTCTTGTAGCTTACCTCAGGACCAAACTACAAACTCTTCTTCAGTGAGTTTGAAAAGTGACAGATCCAAGGATGAAGCTTTAAATTTTCACTGTGAAGATGAAAGGTAGGACACTTTGGTAAAATTTCATGTATTTTCTTAGTAAAACACAATAAACAGCAGCACAATGTACACTAGTTGGTAACACAGTGAATTGTGCTCAAAAGATAGTCCATAGATTTTGAAACTTTTGAACATTATTTTAATGCAGAGTATTATGTTCATTGGGAAATTATGCAAAGAAATATAAACAGAAACAATGACAAGACATAGTTTAAATAAAAATCAGGTGGATAATTTCAATAGAAAGTCATGCCCTGTTCTTTGAGTTTTCATGAACACTTTAAATAATATAGAAAAACCTGCATCAAACAACTTGCACTTATATTTTGTTTGAAGATATAAGTGCAAGTTATTTCTTATTTGAATGTAAGTTGATCTTCTTGGTATGTTTTGCAGAAATAAATTAAAAGTTTTAAAATGATTTAGTAATACAGAAAAAAGTTACTGAACTATAGTTTTTTTTCAATGATTTTGTTTAATTTAGTCCATTCTGTTGTTTTTCAAAGGAAAATCTTTCGCCCCAAACCCTCATTTCTGATCTGTTTTGACTTTGTTGTTGATTTTATAAAGCACTGCACAATTTACTTTTGTGGACAGTACTTAAATGCACATCTAAATAATATTTATATCTGATAAAATCTATATGCAATTAAATGATTACAAGTAAGATTGGCATTTAAAGTTTTTATTTGTTCAGCCATTGAAGAGAATCAGCCAAGAAAATTCAGGAAGCTTTTCATTTGCAACATCATGTTTTGGTCATTTGTATTTTACATAAAATCATTATATGAAAATCAAGATAATGAAAGTGAAGATCACTGAATAGAAAAATAAAATAAAATCAATTTTTGCTAGGAAACCTTAAATTGTGTGAGTCAAAAACCGTTAGTAGAAAAAAGTATATAGTTGGTCAAATAATAATAGAACCAAATTATTATTTTTATTGGAAACATGTACTGCATTGTATTGGTTTAGAAACAGGTCTGGCACAAGGATCCAATTTTCTGATCAAAGGACATAAAAGAAACTATTTATCTTTTGTGTTTAAGTTCACAAGATGACAAAGAACCAGAGTCGCCTGAACCAACTGATGTTATTACATCTTATAATGTACCAAGGTAAGATATGTCAGCAAAACATTCACAGAAGAAAAGTTAACTTGATACACAAAAACTCTTTGCTGCCAGAAGATGAAGATATTTTTTAATGTAACAAACTGATGCTGAAAAAGTGAGTCCAAGAGGAATGAGATCTATAAACCATGATGTTCTGTAGGAGATGTTAAGATGGATCATTTTCTATGTCTTTATTAGGGAAGATTAACTACCAATCAGTACAAAACTGATGTGAGTCATCACAAAGTTTCTGTTTCTTGCACTAAAAAACTATAAAAGTGGTTTCAGACTCAAGTTGTTTCGGCATGTAGCATCTTCAGCATTGAAATGGAGAAATAACAACATTGTCAGCAATAAGTTAATAATTTATAATAGTCATAGGTCATAAAAGATGCAGCTTGTGTGGCTGTATCTATGATGGAAAATAGTCATTAAAGATGGCATCTTTTCAGGCCCACTGGTTCCACTGGGCCAAAGTACTGAAAGAGTTCAGGTATTGGGAGTTTTGTCTCTGGCATTCTTTTTTCGCTGGATTCTTGTTTATGTTCTGCTGAAATTAATGTTTTTGCAAAGTGACTTGAGACATTCATTAATTACTTCTACATAAATTGAATCGATACTATTTTTAAAAAAAAGTAAATGCAAAACATAGAAAAAACAATAATAGATTCATTACTTACAATATTTAAAAGATATTTACATGCAAAAGTGTCATTTTTTTCTTTACCAAACGGACAATTATCCTAGGGGAAGCAAATCCTAAATTTCAAATATTTAAAAAATCAATATATGAAAGTGTGTCACTTTAGCCTAGATACATCGGAGAATGGAAATGAAATAATTTCCAATTATATACATGTATCTGGCCATTTAGTGGATAATTTAATAACTTCTAATTAAGTGTAAATATAACTAACAATTCAATCTGGAGAGACTCAGACGAGAATGAAAGCGATTAGAAAAGTTAATTAAGTCTTTGGCGCTCGGACCCCGTATAAGGACATCGAGCTGACGCGATAAGCTCGGATGAGCATTCCCGATGCTGATAGGAATGACATCCCCCCGGGACCCGACCTGGTGGTGGAGGTCAGTGAATGAGTATGCCTGGGAGCCTGGACGGTGGAGGTGGAGAAGGGGTGCAGGTGGGCTGAGCGCAGACTCGGGAGCGTCTGATGGGGAAGGAAGGGTCGAGGACACGGTGAAGCAGCTGTACGCGAGGAATCACCAGAAAGGGATCCGCTGGATGGTTTGCTGGGAAGCTGGGGCGTGCGATTGAACGTGTTGAGCGCAGCAGCGAAACAGGAGGCATTTTGGATGGATGTCCTTATGAACTGAGGCGTGGTCAGTGATTGGCTGCGACATGGCTAAGTCTAGTGATGATAGGTCGTCAGTGATTAGCGGGAAGTGTCTATTGAAAGCTGTGGGTGGAGCTAAAGAGTCTTCCAGATTGAATTTACGCCTAGGCTCCATTTCAATCAGGAGAGACTCAGATGAGAATGAAAGCGATTAGAAAAGTTAAGTAAGTCTTTGGCGCTCGGGCCCCGGCTAAGGACATCGAGCTGACGCGATAAGCTCGGATGAGCATTCCCGATGCTGATAGGAATGTCATCCCCCCAAAAAGGGAGGCTGAGGCCGGGGCCGAGGCCGAAGGTGGGAAAGTGGAGAAAACGGGATGAGCTATGCTAACTCGGGATTACAGGCTGGGACCATGTGAAGCTTTTAGATGAAGGCCAGTGAGGGGACACCACGGGGCGTAGAATGGCCCGTTGATTCATCTACCGGGAACTGGTAGATGAAGGCCAGCTAGGAACGAGGAGGGCGCAGGTTGCTGATAGATAAAAGGCGGCAGAGGACACGGCAGCGTGAGGGATGATAAAATGCTGGTGGATGAAGGCCAGCTAGGGATGCTGCGTAGCGAGAGATGATAAAATGCTTGGAAGTAGAAGGCCAGCCGGGGACGTTACATGTGAGGGATGATAAAATGCTGGTGGGTGAAGGCCAGATGGGGATGTTGCGTGCGAGGGATGATGGAGAGCTGGTAGACAAAGGCCAGCTGGGGATGTTGCGTGCGAGGGATGATGGAGAACTGGTAGATGAAGGCCAGCTGGGGATCTTGCGTGCGAGGGATGATGGAGAGCTGGTAGATGAAGGCCAGCTGGGGATGTTGCGTGCGAGGGATGTTGGGAAACTGGTAGATGAAGGCCAGCTGGGGATGTTGCGTGCGAGGGAAGATGGAGAGCTGGTAGATGAAGGCCAGCTGGGGATGTTGCGAGCGAGGGGTGATGGAGGCAGGTAGATGAAGGCCAGCTGGGGATGTTGCGTGCGAGGGATGATGGGGAACTGGTAGATGAAGGCCAGCTGGGGATGTTGCGTGCGAGGGGTGATGGAGAGCAGGTAGATGAAGGCCAGCCGGGGATGTTGCGTGCGAGGGATGATGGGGAGCTGGTAGATGAAGGCCAGCCGGGGATGTTGCGTGCGAGGGATGATGGGGAGCCGGTAGGTGAAGGCCAGCTGGGGATGTTGCGTGCGAGGGATGATGGGGAGCTGGTAGATGAAGGCCAGCCGGGGATGTGCGTAGCGAGAAATGATAAAGTGCCAGAACGCTGAGAGATGAAGGTCAGCTGAGAACGCAGCAGAACAAGGGATGATAGAACGCTGGGAGATGAAGGACAGCAGAGAACGCAGCAGAACCAGAGATAATAGATCACTGGAAAATGAAGGCAAGCCGAGAACGCGGCAGGACGAGGAATGATAGGGCACTGGTAAATGAAAGCCAGCCGAGAACACAGCAGAACGAGGAATGAGAGAACGCTGGTAGATGAAGGCCAGCCGAGAATGCAGCAGGGCGAGGAATGAGAGAACGCTGGGAGATGAAGGCCAGCCGAGAACGCAGCAGAACGAGGGATGATGGAACGCTGGGAGATGAAGGACAGCTGAGAACGCGGCAGAACGAGGGATGATGGAAAGCTGGTAGAGAAGGCCGGCCGAGAACGAAGCAGAACGAGAGATAGTAGATCACTGGAAAATGAAGGCAAGCCGAGAACACGGCCGGATGAGGAATGATAGAACACTGGTAGATGAAAGCGAACCGAGAACGCAGCAGAACGAGGGATGATGGAAAGCTGGTTGAGAAGGCCAGCCGAGAACGTAGCAGAACGAGGAATGAGAGAACGCTGGTGGATGAAGGCCAGTCGAGAATGCAGCAGAACGAGAGATAGTAGATCACTGAAAAATGAAGGCAAGCCGAGAACGCGGCCAGACGAGGAATGATAGAACGCTGGTAGATGAAAGCAAGCCGAGAACGCGGCGGAACGAGGGGTGATGGAAAGCTGGTAGAGAAGGCCAGCCGAGAACACAGCAGAACGAGGAATGAGAGAACGCTGGTAGATGAAGGCCAGCCGAGAATGCAGCAGGGCGAGGAATGAGAGAACGCTGGGAGATGAAGGCCAGCCGAGAACGCAGCAGAACGAGGGATGATGGAACGCTGGGAGATGAAGGACAGCTGAGAACGCGGCAGAACGAGGGATGATGGAAAGCTGGTAGAGAAGGCCGGCCGAGAACGAAGCAGAACGAGAGATAGTAGATCACTGGAAAATGAAGGCAAGCCGAGAACACGGCCGGATGAGGAATGATAGAACACTGGTAGATGAAAGCGAACCGAGAACGCAGCAGAACGAGGGATGATGGAAAGCTGGTTGAGAAGGCCAGCCGAGAACGTAGCAGAACGAGGAATGAGAGAACGCTGGTGGATGAAGGCCAGTCGAGAATGCAGCAGAACGAGAGATAGTAGATCACTGAAAAATGAAGGCAAGCCGAGAACGCGGCCAGACGAGGAATGATAGAACGCTGGTAGATGAAAGCAAGCCGAGAACGCAGCAGAACGAGGGATGATGGAAAGCTGGTAGATGAAGGCCAGCCGAGAACGCAGCAGAACGAGGAATGAGAGAACGCTGGTAGATGAAGGCCAGCCGAGAACGCAGCAGAACGAGGGATGATGGAACGCTGGGAGATGAAGGACAGCTGAGAACGCGGCAGAACGAGGGATGATGGAAAGCTGGTAGAGAAGGCCGGCCGAGAACGAAGCAGAACGAGGGATTGTAGATCACTGGAAAATGAAGGCAAGCCGAGAACGCAGCCAGACGAGGAATGATAGAACACTAGTAGATGAAAGCGAGCCGAGAACGCAGCAGAACGAGGGATGATGGAAAGCTGGTAGATGAAGGCCAGCCGATAACGCAACAGAACGAGGGATGAGAGAAAGCTGGTAGATCAAGGTCAGCCGAGAACGCAGCAGAACGAGGAATGAGAGAACGCCGGGAGATGAAGGACAGCCGAGAACGCAGCAGAACGAGGAATGATAGAACGGTGGGAGATGAAGGACAGCTGAGAACGCAGCAGAACGAGAGATAATAGAACACTGGTAGATGAAAGCAAGCCGAGAACGCAGCAGAACGAGGGATGATGGAAAGCTGGTAGATGAAAGCAAGCCGAGAACGCAGCAGAACGAGGGATGATGGAAAGCTGGTAGAGAAGGCCAGCCGAGAACGCAGCAGAACGAGGAATGAGAGAACGCTGGTAGATGAAGGCCAGCCGAGAACGCAGCAGAACGAGGAATGAGAGAACGCTGGTAGATGAAGGCCAGCCGAGAACGCAGCAGAACGAGGGATGATAGAATGCTGGTAGAAGAAAGCCAGCTGGGGATGCGGTGATACTAAGAAATAGTATAGGTGATAGGGGATATCATGCCCCCATAAGTGACAGCTGAGGTCGGAGCTGAAGCTGGAATTAGAGCCAGAGAAAGTGAGAAGAGATCGAAGCCGGTAACTCGGGGCATATAGGCAAAGACTTAAGTAAGTGAGAAGCGGCAATAGAGCGATAAGAGCTTATGGGAAAAGCTAGCTGAAGTGATGGAGAGGCTAAAGAAGTTTTAGCTAGAGGAAAGAGGCCGGCTGAGCGATACTTAAGATGACGAGAAGAGGATACGAAAGGCGACTGCCTAGAAAGAGGGAAGATGGTTGCCTGCTACTGGAGATGAGGTAATAGGGCTGGGATTAGACGCACGAGGTTACGGATAGAGTAGGTGGGCGGGAGAAGAGACTGTTCTGGAATGGGCCCAACAAGAAGGGTGTGAAGAACGAAAGGGGGGAAATAAAATATATATAAATGTAAACATGTATAACATTGGCAGGTGAGAGCATGCATAGCATGAGGTTGACCAACCACCACCAGTAATTGTGCAGTGCTTAAAAGGCACTGAGAGAAGTGACGACTGGTTAAACATGATCCAGAGGGCTTAGGGACGACAGATAGATTCTAACTTCGATGTTGCAGGAAGGAGGGGCTTGGCACAACAGGATCCGAAAAAATATATATATAGATATATATACATGAAAGCTAAGGCTAGAATAGGTGAGAATGGGAAATGAAAAATAGGGAATACCATTACGATGCATGACAAGGGGCTGAGATTGGAAGTAGATGGTGTAGGCTAGAGTTGGAATGGACTGAACAAAGAGAAATACCTTAGCGGCAAGACGTTGAAACAATTGGGGCCGCAACTGTGGAGAAGATGAGTTGATCGATGCCATTTTGTGACATGGGGTGGATGAGGAGATTTGGCACAATGGTTCAGGCGTGACAGTTTGTGGAGAGAGACGATGAGGGATGCTTGTAGAAATTATCTCTTGGGAAAGCAGGTTACAGGAGTAGAAAAGATGTAAATACTGAGCAAGCTACAGAATAAGCTGCGGAAACCAGGAAATGAAATATCACTTCCGTCTCTTCTGCTTGCTGCGATTAAGAGTTTGTGCACGGGGGAGCAACGTCAGCTTTAATGAAACTCTTTAAAGTTGCTCTTGATACGGCTGCAGTTTCCCCGACGCCAATGCCAACGTCGAACTAGACGTATATGTCAGAGAAATAGTGTCAAGAATACGACAGGGAAGAAGGGATGGACTGGAATGCTATCATGCTGATTTGGACGATCTTGATGAGAGATCAGACTTGAAAGCACCGGATGGGACCTGGGCTTGAAATCATGGAATACGGGACCGTTTGCTTGCTAGCGGAGAACGGACCTGTCTCCGGACGATAACGGGGAACAATGAATCGACATAGCAGGACATTTGCCATGACATCAGTAGCCAACATGAAACTCATAATGGGGTAAAGGTGCTGAAAAGGTAGCCCGTCCTCTAACGGCTATGTTGCCGATGTCCGACGCTCACTGACTCTGTCGGATGGGGGAGGGAAGGGCGGGGTGAGAAAATAACTGCGTAAAGTTCTGCTTTTGCTGTAGCTGCCATAATTCTAGCATGCGCCTGCGCAGGCAAGGGGCTGCTGCAAAGACCCAACGACGAATGAACCGATATAACTTCCCAAGTGGAGGACAAGGATGCGAAGAACTGGAGCCCGTATTGCATCAAGTGAATATAGGAACGACGGGGTGTTTGACTGTGGGGTAGAATAAGAGAAGGGATGTTTCATGAAGACCTGGTGAATTAGCGATGCCAGACCATTCAGGTCATTGTTTGCTCAGCACTGCACGACGGAAAGGAGCGTGAAAGTGAAAGTGCTGCTCGGCCGCCATGCTTAGAATCTGGAAAAACTTCTGTAAGTCAAAATAGAACACAAACTTAAATGTGAGGTTAAACCACCTTCTATTTAAAATTGCTTCGATAAGTAGTAACTAAAAACTCAGGAGCGATGATGGCTCTTGACTAGCGACAATGTTCGACAATCGGTGGGGCACCGGTGTGCTCTGGAGGGATTAATAATCAGCTTCATGGGCTGACGGGAACAGCTCCGCAGCGCAGGCTGGAGCGACTGAGGCAAGATTTACAATTAGGTTAATAGTAAAATTATACCCGGCTTTGCATGTACTGAATGACTAGTAATGGGTTGGAGGACCCATTACGCTGTGGTATCTCAATACTGGCGTCAAAGGTGGCATGACATATTGTGCGGCTAAAGACGACTGTGCACGACTGCCCACTAGTTGACCAATATAGAAGCGGAGAAGTAAATGCGGACCATGAAGACTCGTGACGTCAGAGGCTTGCTTGTGACTGAGTGCGAAATGAGTTATCACATGAGCGGATAAGCCTGCATCAACGTGGCTGCTGACAGGGAGGGAGGCAGGAGGGGGGGAAAGAGCAGGAGATCCGGTGTGGGGGCTATAAGTTCAGAGTAATCTATGAGGAAGGGAAGGGGGGGGGGGGGGGAGACGCTGTGGAATTAGGTGATCCACCTGGCTCTCGCTAGGCGTGATGCTACTATTATTGGGATGTTTAAGCGTTCATACAGGTAAAAGTCCTAAAGCATCGAAACGCAGCCTGGGGTGGCACATACGAATAAAACCCGCTAGATCGGGAAGGGATGGATTAAATGGACGATTCGCGTTCTTAGCATTTCAAAACATGAGAAGATACGTCTCACCCCGGAAGCCCGAGGCGGGCGCGGCGTGATGACTCCGATGGGAGCGGCTGGTGTGCGGCTGATGAGCGGCTGGGAGCGATTAATGAGCGGCTGGGAGAGGCTGATGAGCGGCTGGGAGCGATTGATGAGCGGCTGGGGGGCGGCTGATGAGCGGCTGAGAGCGGCTGAGGGCGGCTGGGAGCGGCTGAAGAGCGGCTGGTGTGCGGCTGATGAGCGCAGACTCGGGAGCGTCTGATGGGGAAGGAAGGGTCGAGGACACGGCGAAGCAGCTGTACGCGAGGAATCACCAAGAAAGGGATCCGCTGGGATGGTTTGCTGGGAAGCTGGGGCGTGCGATTGAACGTGTTGAGCGCAGCAGCGAAACGGGAGGCATTTTGGATGGATGTCCTTATGAACTGAGGCGTGGTCGGTGATTGGCTGCGACATGGCTAAGTCTAGTGATGATAGGTCGTCAGTGATTAGCGGGAAGTGTCTATTGAAAGCTGTGGGTGGGGCTAAAGAGTCTTCCAGATTGCATTTACGCCTAGGCTTCATTAGATGTAGACGGGCGAGCAGAGCTTTATTTATTGCGACATCTGAATTTATTCTAATAATTTAAGAATTAAACTATTAGCCTAAAACTACATTGTAGAGGTGAAATATTTGTCAATGCCAGACGTTTTATTTAATCACATTATTAATCTGAAAATATTTTAAGGGGAAAATGATTTTGATTTGGTAGAACTTGTCTATAAAAATATTTTGCTATTTTTCTTGTAGCTTACCTCAGGACCAAACTACAAACTCTTCTTCAGTGAGTTTGAAAAGTGACAGATCCAAGGATGAAGCTTTAAATTTTCACTGTGAAGATGAAAGGTAGGACACTTTGGTAAAATTTCATGTATTTTCTTAGTAAAACACAATAAACAGCAGCACAATGTACACTAGTTGGTAACACAGTGAATTGTGCTCAAAAGATAGTCCATAGATTTTGAAACTTTTGAACATTATTTTAATGCCAAGAGTATTATGTTCATTGGGAAATTATGCAAAGAAATATAAACAGAAACAATGACAAGACATAGTTTAAATAAAAATCAGGTGGATAATTTCAATAGAAAGTCATGCCCTGTTCTTTGAGTTTTCATGAACACTTTAAATAATATAGAAAAACCTGCATCAAAACAACTTGCACTTATATTTTGTTTGAAGATATAAGTGCAAGTTATTTCTTATTTGAATGTAAGTTGATCTTCTTGGTATGTTTTGCAGAAATAAATTAAAAGTTTTAAAATGATTTAGTAATACAGAAAAAAGTTACTGAACTATAGTTTTTTTTCAATGATTTTGTTTAATTTAGTCCCATTCTGTTGTTTTTCAAAGGAAAATCTTTCGCCCCAAACCCTCATTTCTGATCTGTTTTGACTTTGTTGTTGATTTTATAAAGCACTGCACAATTTACTTTTGTGGACAGTACTTAAATGCACATCTAAATATATTTATATCTGATAAAATCTATATGCAATTAAATGATTACAAGTAAGATTGGCATTTAAAGTTGTTATTTGTTCAGCCATTGAAGAGAATCAGCCAAGAAAATTCAGGAAGCTTTTCATTTGCAACATCATGTTTTGGTCATTTGTATTTTACATAAAATCATTATATGAAAATCAAGATAATGAAAGTGAAGATCACTGAATAGAAAAATAAAATAAAATCAATTTTTGCTAAGAAACCTTAAATTGTGTGAGTCAAAAACAGTTAGTAGAAAAAAGTATATAGTTGGTCAAATAATAATAGAACCAAATTATTATTTTTATTGGAAACATGTACTGCAGTTTTGGTTTAGAAACAGGTCTGGCACAAGGATCCAATTTTCTGATCAAAGGACATAAAAGAAACTATTTATCTTTGTGTTAAAGTTCACAAGATGACAAAGAACCAGAGTCTCCTGGACCAACTGATGTTATTACATCTTATAATGTACCAAGGTAAGATATGTCAGCAAAGCATTCACAGACGAAAAGTTAACTTGATACACAAAAACTCTTTGCTGCCAGAAGATGAAGATATTTTTTAATGTAACAAACTGATGCTGAAAAAGTGAGTCCAAGAGGAATGAGATCTATAAACCATGATGTTCTGTAGGAGATGTTAAGATGGATCATTTTCTATGTCTTTATTAGGGAAGATTAACTACCAATCAGTACAAAACTGATGTGAGTCATCACAAAGTTTCTGTTTCTTGCACTAAAAAACTATAAAAGTGGTTTCAGACTCAAGTTGTTTCGGCATGTAGCATCTTCAGCATTGAAATGGAGAAATAACAACATTGTCAGCAATAAGTTAATAATTTATAATAGTCATAGGTCATAAAAGATGCAGCTTGTGTGGCTGTATCTATGATGGAAAATAGTCATTAAAGATGGCATCTTTTCAGGCCCACTGGTTCCACTGGGCCAAAGTACTGAAAGAGTTCAGGTATTGGGAGTTTTGTCTCTGGCATTCTTTTTTCGCTGGATTCTTGTTTATGTTCTGCTGAAATTAATGTTTTTGCAAAGTGACTTGAGACATTCATTAATTACTTCTACATAAATTGAATCGATACTATTTTTTTAAAAAAGTAAATGCAAAACATAGAAAAAAACAATAATAGATTCATTACTTACAATATTTAAAAGATATTTACATGCAAAAGTGTCATTTTCTTCTTCACCAAACGGACAATTATCCTAGGGGAAGCAAATCCTAAATTTCAAATATTTAAAAAATCAATATATGAAAGTGTGTCATTTTAGCCTAGATACATCGGAGAATGGAAATGAAATAATTTCCAATTATATACATGTATCTGGCCATTTAGTGGATAATTTAATAACTTCTAATTAAGTATAAATATAACTAACAATAGCTGTAGACGGGCGAGCAGAGCATTATTTATTGCGACATCTGAATTTATTCAAATAATTTAAGAATTAAACTATTAGCCTAAAACTACATTGTAGAGGTGAAATATTTGACAATGCCAGACGTTTTATTTAATCACATTATTAATCTGAAATATTTAAGGGGAAAATGATTTTGATTTGGTAGAGCTTGTCTATAAAAATATTTTGCTATTTTTCTTGTAGCTTACCTCAGGACCAAACTAAAACTCTTCTTCAGTGAGTTTGAAAAGTGACAGATCCAAGGATGAAGCTTTAAATTTTCACTGTGAAGATGAAAGGTAGGACACTTTGGTAAAATTTCATGTATTTTCTGAGTAAAACACAATAAAACAGCAGCACAATGTGCATTATTATTTTCATTGGAAACATGTACTGCAGTGTTTTGGTTTAGAAACAGTTCTGGCACAAGGATCCAATTTTCTGATCAAAGGACATAAAAGAAACTATTTATCTTTTGTGTTTAAGTTCACAAGATGACAAAGAACCAGAGTCTCCTGGACCAACTGATGTTATTACATCTTATAATGTACCAAGGTAAGATATGTCAGCAAAACATTCACAGAAGAAAAGTTAACTTGATACACAAAAACTCTTTGCTGCCAGAAGATGAAGATATTTTTTAATGTAACAAACTGATGCTGAAAAAGTGAGTCCAAGAGGAATGAGATCTATAAACCATGATGTTCTGTAGGAGAATTTAAGATGGATCATTTTCTATGTCTTTATTAGGGAAGATTAACTACCAATCAGTACAAAACTGATGTGAGTCATCACAAAGTTTCTGTTTCTTGCACTAAAAAACTATACAAGTGTTTGCTTAAACACTAACAGTCTCAATAATCTATCAATTATTGAAGTTTTGTGACAATAAATTGCTGGAGTTGCATAATCGTGAAGAGTATTAAAAAAGAAATATATTCTTACTTTTCCTTCTGATCTAAAAAGTAAGCCTACTGGACATGTCAAAGTATGTTTTTTCTAAGTTCTTCAGAGACTTAATACAATACATTCTTTAATTTTGAAATGACAATAAATGGCTTGTTTTAAGATTTAATTGCTGATTATTTAAAAGTTGAGAGGTTAAAAAGTATATTTATTTTAATTATCTTTTTGTGTTGCTTTAAGTTTGCATTACCTTGTCATATTGAAATCAAACTTCCTTTCCATTTTAACATATTTTAATACAAAACTACGAAGGTTAGTAAGTTTCTAGAGGAAACTCTGCTATATCATCCATAAACTTTATCCTTAGTATACCAAAGACATAGTATAGATGGCTTTCTGTAGTATAGCTTGCCTACATTGTCTGCAGTGTGAGTGAGAAAAATAATTTACCACAGAAGTGACTGAAAACTGTCAGATTCAAGTCACGTGGGCATGTATCTTCATCCGCAGTGAAAAGGTGAAAAAAACAGCATCCTCAGCAATACATTAATCATTTATAATAGTCGTAGGCCGTAAAATATGCAGCTTTTAAAGAGATATAATTTCTTCTTTTCTGGAATTTTGCTGTTTTATACAATTGTTATCATTTCAATGCCTAAAACTTATTGATCCAAGAAGTTGTTTTGCCAACCGGAAGTACGTGATCGCAATTTTATCTATTGAAAACCATGAATTGATAAATTCAACTGTTTTTCTTAAATTATTGAATAAATAGACATATTAACTCAATGACAATTATATTTAATGGTTTTAATTGGTTGCTTAGGTTATGTAACCTATTCATATTTTTACAAAGTGATATTATATCAGCTTTCAAGTGTTTCAGGAACCTCCTTATCATTCATTTCACTTCTTTGAAAATATACTTCTTTACAATTATGACTCAATGCTGACATTATCAATGGAGATATCTGTGCTTCCTGCAACAGGTTTTGTGTTAAGAAGGTATTTTAGGTTTGAATATCTTCATGTTCCAGTCCGAAACGTTGTATGTAAAAACAAAACAACAACAAAAAAACTGATTATTTGCACAAAACATTTTTAAATGTATGTAATTAATTGATTAAATTGAATGCGATAAAGTCCTGGCCCCAGTGCAAATTGTGGTGTTCCAGACACAGAAATTAATGAACCTATAGGTGGCGCTCTCTGTGTTTTTGAGTGTGGTTAGAGAACCTGTAAGAAGAAGAAGCTGAGTTCCCGGTTGGAATAAAATGTTGCCATGTGCTTGTTCTAGTCGTCTGCTTGGACATCATTTATTTTGAACTGGTGTTCCATACACAACACAAATAAATTACAAATCACCTCTTTTAACTTGAACATGATCACTAAACTAATGTCCATTTGAATAAATGTAAACCAAAAGAGTTAAATGTCTTGTATTTTTCTGCAGTGATTCTAATGACATCCAACCTGAAAATTCTGGAGCAGCTGACAAAGGTGAGCGACTTAAAAAGAAAAGGTGTTTTAAGTTCAACTGTCCATTGACTTTAGAGATTAATGAATACATACTTTTTAGAGATGAGTTATGTGTCAAATTATATTTGACACATAAAATTTAGATTTTACTTGGGTTTTTTTTAATGTTGTTTCTATTGCCACCAGAAAGTAAAATTAATTGCTTCTAAGAAGACCAAGTTGTTTTTTCTTTCCATAAATTATAAAGCCTCAAATCTTGTGAATCTTTAACCAGTATTGGACAGGTCTTATAATTGCAGCCCTAATGAAATATCAACAATACTTGATGTTTCAAGACAAAAGTGTCAATGGTGTAAACTAATAATAATTTACTCAGGTGACACTCAATGAATCTTATCACTTGTCAGCTGAGTTTAAATTGTTGCCTGCAAGAAATGAATATAAAAAATGTATTGTTTATTCTATGCTGCAGACTTTGTGTTTTTATGTTTATGATGTAAAGCACTTTGAACTGCCTTGCTGCTGAAATGTGCAATACAAATAAAATATGATTTGATTTGATTAGAGCGGATCATTGCTGAAAATATTCTGAAGAGTGTTGTCAATCGTGGATCAAATTAGTAATGGTTGTTCCTCTTACTCACATATATTTAATTTAAAAGTTACAGGAGATGATCCCAAAGGAGAATTGTCAATGATGGCAGATGCCAATGAAGACAAAGAAATTCCTAAGAAGGTGAATCAACAAGAAAGTGACGAAAAACACTCTGAGATTGTGATGTTTGAAAGTGGGAAAAAGAGCCCAATCACGCCCAAGAATTTATTTACCAACAATAAATCTTTGATTTCCAAAATTCCTGGTATGTCCAAAAATGTGCGAACTGTACTGATGAAAGGAGTTCCTGGTGTTGGTAAAACATTCCAAACAAAAATGTTCATGAAGGACTGGGCAAAAGAAAACTCCAACAAACACATAAAGGCTTTAGTGACCTTTGATTTCACTGAGTTGAATTCAATGAAGGATGAAGAAAAAAGCATGGAATCTTTGCTGAATGATTTCTTCAAGAAAAAAAATGCTGTTTTCAAAGATCACAAGAAAAAGATATGTTTCATTCTTGATGGCCTGGAAGAATGCACACTTCCTCTTGACTTTGAAAACAACAAAGAAGTTAAAGACTTGAAGGAAGAAGCATCAATGGATGAGCTGCTAACGAATCTGATCAAAGGAAATCTGCTTCCTAAATCTCATATTTGGATAATTTCTCAACCAATAGGAGTTGATAAGATTCCTCCTGAATATATCAACAAAACTGTTCAATGTCAAGGTAAGAATATCAGTCTAAATCAATTACACTTAGCTTGTACACAAAATAATAATTTTTGTTGACTTTCTTCAAGACTTATAACTTTACATCATTTTTGACCAATCCTGTTCAAAGCTCAGAGAGGTTCTTTAGTCTGTGGAATCACTGACGCATTAGTGTTATACGGCAGTGGGTGATTATTTTATTTTTACTGTTCTTGTGGTTTTTCTCTCTGTTTGTTTTTATGGCCATATTTGTTTCTGAATAAATAGGGTTGATTGATTCATCGACTTGATTTACTCTTAATAAATATATTGTAAAATTGACAATGATACAACAGAATTAGTATTTTAACTAAATCTTCTTAGGGTACAAAATTCATCTCTTTGCTGTGAGTTTTATTGTGTTTTTGTATTTTCTTTACTTCTACCATTTTGATTTATAATGTCTGCAAGTTTCTTCATTTATGTGATTAGGTGGTTTTCATACTGCATAGTGTTTTATGTTGTATTTTTGCCCATTCTGTTTTTATTCTTAATTCTGTCTTAATATATTTTAGATTTTTATATATGTGCAACTCTATACATATTTTGATTGCTTCCTCACTTTGCTGTTGTTACACTGAAATTTCCCCACAGTGGGACAATGAAAGATATTTCTATTCTATTGTATCAAGTTACACTCACAGATACAGAGTCAAGGAAATGCCAGAACAAAGTGGAGCTAACATGTATCAGATGTAAATGCACATGCTGCATATACTTTGTTCACAAACATATTTGTAATCACATAAGCATCGCTGAGTGTTCAATGTGAAACTCTGAAAGATGAACTTTGTCTCACCCTTAATGCAGTCGCTCTTATAGATTTGAGTTGAGTGTATTGAGCTGAGCAAGCAGTGGGTTTTAATACCTGGTGCACATGTTGCTCCAGTTTCTCCAAAAAGACAGTCTTTTGTAAAGATCACTTTCATGCTGGTAGAGGTAAACCAGCTTTGCAAGGACATTTTCCAAATGCACCATTTTGAGTGAAATAGGGTTTGCACAATCCACAGCGAGTTACAGAATTTGGAGGTGCACAAAAAAAAATATTAATTTATTTGCACTAGTTCAGTGCATCTTATTGTTATTTAGCTGAGTTCAACTGAGGAAGAAATAGATTTTTTTATGCAATATTTTCTGAAGGTAGTGTTTTTAACAATGTTTCAAATATGAAGTTACTGTTATTCTTGTTATTCACATGTCACATTTTTTCAATGATAGGAGATGCCAAGGAAAAAAAATACCTGAAGGAAGTAATTCTTGAGGAGGTGGGTCAACAGGAAAGTGACCCAAAACTCTCTGAGATAGTGATGTTTGAAAGTGGGAAAAAGAACCTAATCACACCCAAAGATTTATTTACCAACAATAAATCTCTGATCTCCAAACTTCCTCGTATGAACAATAATGTACTGATGGAAGGAGTTCCTGGTGTTGGTAAAACTTTTCAAACAAAAATGTTCATGAAGGACTGGGCAAAAGAAAACTCCAACCAACACATAAAGGCTTTAGTGACCTTTGATTTCACTGAGTTGAATTCAATGAAGAATAAAGTAAAAAGCATGGAATTTCTGCTGAATGATTTCTTCAAGAAAAAAATGCTGTTTTCAAAGATGACAAGAAAAAATATATGTTCATTCTTGATGGCCTGGAAGAATGCACACTTCCTCTTGACTTTGAAAACAACAAAGAAGTTAAAGTCTTGAAGGAAGAAGCATCAATAGATGAGCTGCTAACGAATCTGATCAAAGGAAATCTGCTTCCTGAATCTCATATTTTGATAATTTCTCAACCAATAGGAGTTGATAAGATTCCTCCTGAATATATCAACAAAACTGTTCAATGTCAAGGTAAGAATATCAGTCTAAATCAATTGCACTTAGCTTGTACACAAAATAATAATTTTTGTTGACTTTCTTCCAGACTTATATAACTTTACATCATTTTTGACCAATCCTGTTCAAAGCTCAGAGAGGTTCTTTAGTCTGTGGAATCACTGACGCATTAGTGTTATACGGCAGTGGGTGATTATTTTATTTTTACTGTTCTTGTGGTTTTTCTCTCTGTTTTTTGTTTTTATGGCCATATTTGTTTCTGAATAAATAGGTTGATTGATTCATCGACTTGATTTACTCTTAATAAATATATTGTAAAATTGACACTGATGAAAAAAAATTAGCATTTCAACTAAATCTTCTTAGGGTACAAAATTCATCTCTTTGCTGTGAGTTTTATTGTGTTTTTGTATTTTCTTTACTTCTACCATTTTTGATTTATAATGTCTGCAAGTTTCTTCATTTACTGGTTGTGATTAGGTGGTTTTCATACTGCATAGTGTTTTATGTTGTATTTTTGCCCATTCTGTATTTTATTCTTAATTCTGTCTTAATATTTTAGATTTTTATATATGTGCAACTCTATACATATTTTGATTGCTTCCTCACTTTGCTGTTGTTACACTGAAATTTCCCCACAGTGGGACAATGAAAGATATTTCTATTCTATTGTATCAAGTTACACTCACAGATACAGAATCAAGGAAATGCCAGAACAAAGTGGAGCTAACATGTATCAGATGTAAATGCACATGCTGCATATACTTTGTTCACAAACATATTTGTAATCACATAAGCATCGCTGAGTGTTCACTGTGAAACTCTGAAAGATTAACTTTGTCTCACCCTTAATGCAGTCGCTCTTATAGATTTGAGTTGAGTGTATTTGAGCTGAGCAAGCAGTGGGTTTAATACCTGGTGCACATGTTGCTCCAGTTTCTCCAAAAAGACAGTCTTCCTGTAAAAATCACTTTCATGCTGGTAAAGGTAAACCAGCTCTGCAAGAGCACTTTCCAAATGCACCATTTTGAGTGAAATAGGGTTTGCACAATCCACAGCGAGTTACAGAAATTTGGAGGAGCACAAAAAAAATATTAATTTATTTGCACTAGTTCAGTGCATCTTATTGTTATTTAGCTGAGTTCAACTGAGGAAGAAAAAGATTTTTTATGCAATATTTCTGAAGGTAGTGTTTTTAACAATGTTTCAAATATGAAGTTACTGTTATTCTTGTTATTCACATATCACATTTTTTTCAATAATAGGAGATGCCAAGGAAGAAAAATACCTGAAGGAAGTAATTCTTGAGGAGGTGGGTCAACAGGAAAGTGACCCAAAACTCTCTGAGATAGTGATTTTGAAAGTGGGAAAAAGAACCTAATCACACCCAAAGATTTATTTACCAACAATAAATTTCTGATCTCCAAACTTCCTCCTATGAACAATAATGTACTGATGGAAGGAGTTCCTGGTGTTGGTAAAACTTCCAAACAAAAATGTTCATGAAGGACTGGGCAAAAGAAAACTCCAACAAACACATAAAGTCTATAGTGACCTTTGATTTCACTGAGTTGAATACAAAGCAGGATGAAAAAAAAAGCATGGAATTCTGCTGAATGATTTCTTCAAGAAAAAAAATGCTGTTTTCAAAGATGACAAGAAAAATATATGTTTCATTCTTGATGGCCTGGAAGAATGCACACTTCCTCTTGACTTTGAAAACAACAAAGAAGTTAAAGACTTGAAGGAAGAAGCATCAATGGATGAGCTGCTAACGAATCTGATCAAAGGAAATCTGCTTCCTAAATCTCATATTTTGATAATTTCTCAACCAATAGGAGTTGATAAGATTCCTTCTGAATATATCAACAAAACTGTTCAATGTCAAGGTAAGAATATCAGTCTAAATCAATTGCACTTAGCTTGTACACAAAATAATAATTTTTGTTGACTTTCTTCAAGACTTATATAACTTTACATCATTTTTGACCAATCCTGTTCAAAGCTCAGAGAGGTTCTTTAGTCTGTGGAATCACTGACGCATTAGTGTTATACGGCAGTGGGTGATTATTTTATTTTTACTGTTCTTGTGGTTTTTCTCTCTGTTTTTTGTTTTATGGCCATATTTGTTTCTGAATAAATAGGGTTGATTGATTCATCGACTTGATTTACTCTTAATAAATATTTTGTAAAATTGACACTGATGAAAAAAATTAGCATTTCAACTAAATCTTCTTAGGGTACAAAATTCATCTCTTTGCTGTGAGTTTTATTGTGTTTTGTATTTTCTTTACTTCTACCATTTTGATTTATAATGTCTGCAAGTTTCTTCATTTACTGGTTGTGATTAGGTGGTTTTCATACTGCATAGTGTTTTATGTTGTATTTTTGCCCATTCTGTATTTTATTCTTAATTCTGTCTTAATATATTTTAGATTTTTATATATGTGCAACTCTATACATATTTTGATTGCTTCCTCACTTTGCTGTTGTTACACTGAAATTTCCCCACAGTGGGACAATGAAAGATATTTCTATTCTATTGTATCAAGTTACACTCACAGATACAGAGTCAAGGAAATGCCAGAACAAAGTGGAGCTAACATGTATCAGATGTAAATGCACATGCTGCATATACTTTGTTCACAAACATATTTGTAATCACATAAGCATCGCTGAGTGTTCACTGTGAAACTCTGAAAGATCAACTATATCTCTCCCTTAATGCAGTCGCTCTTATAGATTTGAGTTGAGTGTATTTGAGCTGAGCAAGCAGTGGGTTTTAATACCTGGTGCACATGTTGCTCCAGTTTCTCCAAAAAGACAGTCTTCCAGTAAAGATCACTTTCATGCTGGTAGAGGTAAACCAGCTCTGCAAGAGCACTTTCTAAATGCACCATTTTGAGTGAAATAGGGTTTGCACAATCCACAGCGAGTTACAGAAATTTGGAGGTGCACAAAAAAAAATATTAATTTATTTGCACTAGTTCAGTGCATCTTATTGTTATTTAGCTGAGTTCAACTGAGGAAGAAAAAGATTTTTTATGCAATATTTCTGAAGGTAGTGTTTTTAACAATGTTTCAAATATGAAGTTACTGTTATTCTTGTTATTCACATGTCACATTTTTTCAACGATAGGAGATGCCAAGGAAGAAAAATACCTGAAGAAAGTAATTCTTGAGGAGGTGGGTCAACAGGAAAGTGACCCAAAACTCTCTGAGATAGTGATGTTTGAAAGTGGGAAAAAGAACCTAATCACACCCAAAGATGTATTTACCAACAATAAATCTCTGATCTCCAAACTTCCTCGTATGACAATAATGTACTGATGAAAGGAGTTCCTGGTGTTGGTAAAACATTCCAAACAAAAATGTTCATGAAGGACTGGGCAAAAGAAAACTCCAACAAACACATAAAGGCTTTAGTGACCCTTGATTTCACTGAGTTGAATTCAATGAAGGATGAAGAAAAAAGCATGGAATTTCTGCTGAATGATTTCTTCAGAAAGAAAAATGCTCTTTTCAAAGATGACAAGAAAAATATATGTTTCATTCTTGATGGCCTGGAAGAATGCACACTTCCTCTTGACTTTGAAAACAACAAAGAAGTTAAAGACTTGAAGGAAGAAGCATCAATAGATGAGCTGCTAACGAATCTGATCAAAGGAAATCTGCTTCCTGAATCTCATATTTGATAATTTCTCAACCAATAGGAGTTGATAAGATTCCTCCTGAATATATCAACAAAACTGTTCAATGTCAAGGTAAGAATATCAGTCTAAATCAATTGCACTTAGCTTGTACACAAAATAATAATTTTTGTTGACTTTCTTCAAGACTTATATAACTTTACATCATTTTTGACCAATCCTGTTCAAAGCTCAGAGAGGTTCTTTAGTCTGTGGAATCACTGACGCATTAGTGTTATACGGCAGTGGGTGATTATTTTATTTTTACTGTTCTTGTGGTTTTTCTCTCTGTTTTTTGTTTTTATGGCCATATTTGTTTCTGAATAAATAGGGTTGATTGATTCATCGACTTGATTTACTCTTAATAAATATATTGTAAAATTGACACTGATGAAAAAAAATTAGCATTTCAACTAAATCTTCTTAGGGTACAAAATTCATCTCTTTGCTGTGAGTTTTATTGTGTTTTTGTATTTTCTTTACTTCTACCATTTTGATTTATAATGTCTGCAAGTTTCTTCATTTACTGGTTGTGATTAGGTGGTTTTCATACTGCATAGTGTTTTATGTTGTATTTTTGCCCATTCTGTTTTTATTCTTAATTCTGTCTTAATATATTTTAGATTTTTATATATGTGCAACTCTATACATATTTTGATTGCTTCCTCACTTTGCTGTTGTTACACTGAAATTTCCCCACAGTGGGACAATGAAAGATATTTCTATTCTATTGTATCAAGTTACACTCACAGATACAGAATCAAGGAAATGCCAGAACAAAGTGGAGCTAACATGTATCAGATGTAAATGCACATGCTGCATATACTTTGTTCACAAACATATTTGTAATCACATAAGCATCGCTGAGTGTTCACTGTGAAACTCTGAAAGATTAACTTTATCTCACCCTTAATGCAGTCGCTCTTAGAGATTTGAATTGAGTGTATTTGAGCCGAGCAAGCAGTGGGTTTTAATACCTGGTGCATATGTTGCTGCAGTTTCTCCAAAAAGACAGTCTTCCTGTAAAGATCACTTTCATGCTGGTAGAGGTAAACCAGCTCTGCAAGAGCACTTTCCAAATGCACCATTTTGAGTGAAATAGGGTTTGCACAATCCACAGCGAGTTACAGAAATTTGGAGGTGCACAAAAAACATTAATTTACTTGCACGAGTTCAGTGCATCTTATTGTTATTTAGCTGAGTTCAACTGAGGAAGAAATACAGATTTTTTATACAATAATTCTGAAGGTAGTGTTTTAAACAATGTTTCAAATATGAAGTTACTGTTATTCTTGTTATTCACATATCATATTTTTTCAATAATAGGAGAGGCCAAGGAAGAAAAATACCTGAAGGAAGTCATTCTTGAGAAGGTGGGTCAACAGGAAAGTGACCCAAAACTCTCTGAGATAGTGATGTTTGAAAGTGGGAAAAAGAACCTAATCATGCTCAAAGATTTATTTACCAACAATAAATCTCTGATCTCCAAACTTCCTCGTATGAACAATAATGTACTGATGAAAGGAGTTCCTGGTGTTGGTAAAAACTTTCCAAACAAAAATGTTCATGAAGGACTGGGCAGAAGAAAACTCCAATAAACACTTAAAGGCTTTAGTGACCTTTGATTTCACTGAGTTGAATACAAAGCAGGATGAAAAAAAAAGCATGAAATCTCTGCTGAATGATTTCTTCAAAAAGAAAAATGCTCTCTTCAAAGATGACAAGAAAAAGATATGTTTCATTCTTGATGGCCTGGAAGAATGCACACTTCCTCTTGACTTTGAAAACAACAAAGAAGTTAAAGACTGGAAGGAAGAAGCATCAATGGATGAGCTGCTAACGAATCTGATCAAAGGAAATCTGCTTCCTGAATCTCATATTTTGATAATTTCTCAACCAATAGGAGTTGATAAGATTCCTTCTGAATATATCAACAAAACTGTTCAATGTCAAGGTAAGAATATCAGTCTAAATCAATTACACTTAGCTTGTTTACAAAATAGTCATTTTTGTTGACTTTTTTTAAGAGTTATGAGTTTTTACACATTCTGTTTTATTCTTAATTCTGTCTTAATATATTTTAGATTTTTATATATGTGCAACTCTATACATATTTTGATTGCTTCCTCACTTTGCTGTTGTTACACTGAAATTTCCCCACAGTGGGACAATGAAAGATATTTCTATTCTATTGTATCAAGTTACACTCACAGATACAGAATCGAGGAAATGCCAGAACAAAGTGGAGCTAACATGTATCAGATGTAAATGCACATGCTGCATATACTTTGTTCACAAACATATTTGTAATCACATAAGCATCGCTGAGTGTTCACTGTGAAACTCTGAAAGATCAACTATATCTCTCCCTTAATGCAGTCGCTCTTATAGATTTGAGTTGAGTGTATTTGAGCTGAGCAAGCAGTGGGTTTTAATACCTGGTGCACATGTTGCTCCAGTTTCTCCAAAAAGACAGTCTTTTTGTAAAGATCACTTTCATGCTGGTAAAGATAAACAAGCTCTGCAAGAGCACTTTCTAAATGCACCATTTTGAGTGAAATGAAGCCTAGGCGTAAATTCAATCTGGAAGACTCTTTAGCCCACCCGCAGCTTTCAGTAGGCGCTTCCCGCTAATCACTGACGACCTATCATCGCTAGACCCAGCCATGTCGCAGCCAATCACCGACCACGCCCCAGTTCACAAGGATGTCCATCCAAGGTGTCTTCCGTTTCGCTGCTGCGCTCAACACGTTCATTCGCACGCCCCAGCTTCTCAGCAAGCCATCCCAGCGGATCCGTTTCTTCGTGATTCCTCGCGTACAGCTGCTTTGCCGTGTCCTCGACCCTTCCTTCCCCATCAGACGCTCCCGAGTCTGCGCTCTTCCCACCTGCACCCCTTCTCCACCTCCACCGTCCAGGCTCCCAGGCATACTCATTCACTGACCTCCACCACCAGGTCGGGTCCCGGGGGGGTGACATTCCTATCAGCATCGGGACTGCTCATCCGAGCTTATCGCGTCAGCTCGATGTCCTTAGCCGGGGCCCGAGCGCCAAAGACTTAATTAACTTTTCTAATCGCTTTCATTCTCATCTGAGTCTCTCCTGATTGAAATAGGGTTTGCACAATCCACAGCGAGTTACAGAAATTTGGAGGTGCACAAAAAAACATTAATTTATTTGCACTAGTTCAGTGCATCTTATTGTTATTTAGCTGAGTTCAACTGAGGAAGAAATACAGATTTTTTATGCAATATTTCTGAAGGTAGTGTTTTAAACAATGTTTCAAATATGAAGTTACTGTTATTCTTGTTATTCACATGTCACATTTTTTCAACAATAGGAGAGGCCAAGGAAGAAAAATACCTGAAGAAAGTAATTCTTGAGGAGGTGGGTCAACAGGAAAGTGACCCAAAACTCTCTGAGATAGTGATGTTTGAAAGTGGGAAAAAGAACCTAATCACACCCAAAGATTTATTTACCAACAATAAATCTCTGATCTCCAAACTTCCTCGTATGAACAATAATGTACTGATGAAAGTAGCTCCTGGAATTGATAAAACATTTCAAACAAAAATGTTCATGAAGGACTGGGCAAAAGAAAACTCCAACAAACACATAAAGGCTTTAGTGACCCTTGATTTCACTGAGTTGAATTCAATGAAGGATGAAGTAAAAAGCATGAACTCTCTGCTGGATGATTTCTTCAACGAAAAAAAATGCTGTTTTCAAAGATGACAAGAAAAAGATATGTTTCATTCTTGATGGCCTGGAAGAATGCACACTTCCTCTTGACTTTGAAAACAACAAAGAAGTTAAAGACTGGAAGGAAGAAGCATCAATGGATGAGCTGCTAACGAATCTGATCAAAGGAAATCTGTTTCCTGAATCTCATATTTTGATAATTTCTCAACCAAAAGGAGTTGATAAGATTCCTTCTGAATATATCGACAGAGCTGTTCTCATTCACGGTAAGAATATCCATCTAAATTACACTTAGATTATACACAAAATAGTCTTTTTTGTTAACTTTATTCAAGAGTTATCTGATTTTACATCATATTCTAAATTTACATAATTTTTGACCAATTCTGTTCAAAGCTCAGTGAAGTTCTATGGTATGTGGAATCAACCACGTGTTAGTGTTATATAGCAGTAAATCATTATTTTATTTTTTACTATTTTTGTAGTTGTTCTGTTAGTTTTTGTTTTATATGGCCATATTTGTTTCTGAATAAACATGATTGATTTGATTTGATTTGATTTACTCTGTTTAATTAGAAACTTAAGTACCAGAAGATGTTAGAATTGAATCAGTTAAAAGTAATGAAAATAATCCTGTTGCTGCAAATTGCAAAATAAGAAAGAATTATCATGGTAAACAAACAGTTTCTAAGTGTAACACGGGGGAAAGGGGCGCGGATCGTGGAAGAGGACGTGGCCGTAAAGCCAACTGGTAGACCTCTCAAATCCTAAATGGTCTAGGGTTTCCCAATTAAAAATACTCAAGTAAGTCTGGCTTAAAATGATGAAACGGAAGTAGTGTACAAAAATATTTATTTATTAATTCATTCTTTTTACAATATTAAAAATATACTTTATCATTCTAATTCTAAAACCTGGTAGTGCACAAAGCACAGGACAGAAGCAAGCTGAGATTTAAACAAAAGAATAGAATAATTGCAAACCAAGTTAATAATCATGCAAATCAACACAGACTAATGTTAAACAAAACAAAAAAAGAAAAAGAAAGAAATCCCAAGTTGCGCCAGCCCCGCCTTATGACGCGGTGCCCAATCAGCTGATTTAAAATAACGTTCTGGTTCTGTGGTGTCTATGCTACCATTCTAGCTCTTCAGGACAACCTATGAGCCATTTAATAAACCTCTAAAAATGTGCATGCAGGTGAGAGCATAAAATACAACAGCGGCAGTCTGCGGCAATCTTAATCCCCACACGGAATACGTTTAGATGCTGCAGTGAAATGCTGAAACGCTCCCTTATCCATAGTCCAATCCTGGATCACAGAGCACACGACCAGCACTCGTCCATCCACGATCCAACTGTGCACAACAATGGATCTGACACACACTTAACTTGGCGTTCGCACCCGGTGCCTATATACGTTAATGAGCCCGGCTAACCAGAAATGACATCATGTTGCATTCAAGGGCCTGAAACGGGTGGGAATTTACAACTTCAAACAAACAGCCAATAAGATAAGATTCCTTCTAAATATATCGACAGAACTGTTCTCTGTCACGGTAAGAATATCCATCTAAATTACACTTAGATTGTACACAAAATAGTCATTTTGTTAACTTTATTCAAGAGTTATCTGATTTTACATCATATTCTAAATTTACATAATTTTTGACCAATCCTGTTCAAAGCTCAGTGAAGTTCTATGGTATGTGGAATCAACGACGCATTAGTGTTATATAGCAGTAAATCATTATTTTATTTTTTACTATTTTTGTAGTTGTTCTGTTAGTTTTTGTTTTATATGGCCATATTTGTTTCTGAATAAACATAATTGATTGATTTGATTTGATTTACTCTGTTTAATTAGAAACTTAAGTACCAGAAGATGTTAGAATTAAATCAGTTAAAAGTAGTGAAAATAATCCTGTTGCTGCAAATTGCAAAATAAAGAAAGAATTATCATGGTAAACAAACAGCTTCTAAGTAAACCAAGTTATTTTCTCCTTTAAAACTAAATATTTTTAAATACGGGTTACTTGGGCAGCTCATTGTTGACCCACTCTGTTCTTGTATTAAAAAATGTTAAAGGTTGACAGAACATTTTAAAACACGTAATGTTGGAAGACATTATTGCTAATACTTGAGCACCAGCTAAAAAAGGCTAACAAAGCATGCAATTAAATATGTTCTTTGCAATTAAATCCTAATTAATTAATCTACCTTTGTATTGTGAAACTAAATATATTATGCTCATTCATTAAAAGTAAGGAAAGGGAAATAAATATATTGTAAAATTGACAATGATACAAAAGAATTAGTATTTTAACTAAATCTTCTTAGGGTACAAAATTCATCTCTTTGCTGTGAGTTTTATTGTGTTTTGTATTTTCTTTACTTCTACCATTTTGATTTATAATGTCTGCAAGTTTCTTCATTTACTGGTTGTGATTAGGTGGTTTTCATACTGCATAGTGTTTTATGTTGTATTTTTGCCCATTCTGTTTTTATTCTTAATTCTGTCTTAATATATTTTAGATTTTTATATATGTGCAACTCTATACATATTTTGATTGCTTCCTCACTTTGCTGTTGTTACACTGAAATTTCCCCACTGTGGGACAATGAAAGATATTTCTATTCTATTGTATCAAGTTACACTCACAGATACAGAATCAAGAAAATGCCAGAACAAAGTGGAGCTAACATGTATCAGATGTAAATGCACATGCTGCATATACTTTGTTCACAAACATATTTGTAATCACATAAGCATCGCTGAGTGTTCACTGTGAAACTCTGAAAGATCAACTATATCTCTCCCTTAATGCAGTCGCTCTTATAGATTTGAGTTGAGTGTATTTGAGCTGAGCAAGCAGTGGGTTTTAATACCTGGTGCACATGTTGCTCCAGTTTCTCCAAAAAGACAGTCTTTTGTAAAGATCACTTTCATGCTGGTAAAGATAAACAAGCTCTGCTAGAGCACTTTCCAAATACACCATTTTGAGTGAAATAGGGTTTGCACAATCCACAGCGAGTTACAGAAATTTGGAGGTGCACAAAAAAAATATTAATTTAGTGGGTGGGTTCTGTGCATCTTATTGTTATTTAGCTGAGTTTGACTTGTTGTCGGGAAGAAATACAGATTTTTTATGCAATAATTCTGAAGGTAGTGTTTTTAACAATGTTTCAAATATGAAGTTACTGTTATTCTTGTTATTCACATATCACATTTTTTCAATGATAGGAGATGCCAAGGAAGAAAAATACCTGAAGGAAATAATTCTTGAGGAGGTGGGTCAACAAGAAAGTGACCCAAAACTCTCTGAGATAGTGATGTTTGAAAGTGAGAAAAAGAACGTCATCACACCCAAAGATTTATTTACCAACAATAAATTTCTGATCTCCAAACATCCTCGTATGAACAAAAATGTACTGATGAAAGTAGCTCCTGGAATTGATAAAACATTTCAAACAAAAATGTTCATGAAGGACTGGGCAAAAGGAAACTCCAACAAACACATAAAGGCTTTAGTGACCTTTGATTTCACTGAGTTGAATTCAATGAAGGATGAAGGAAAAAGCATGGAATCTCTGCTGAATGATTTCTTCAAGACAAAAAATGCTGTTTTCAAAGATGACAAGAAAAAGATATGTTTCATTCTTGATGGGCTGGAAGAATGCACACTTCCTCTTGACTTTGAAAACAACAAAGAAGTTAAAGACTGGAAGGAAGAAGCATCAATGGATGAGCTGCTAACGAATCTGATCAAAGGAAATCTGTTTCCTGAATCTCATATTTTGATAATTTCTCAACCAATAGGAGTTGATAAGATTCCTTCTGAATATATCGACAGAGCTGTTCTCATTCACGGTAAGAATATCCATCTAAATTACACTTAGATTATACACAAAATAGTCTTTTTTGTTAACTTTATTCAAGAGTTATCTGATTTTACATCATATTCTAAATTTACATAATTTTTGACCAATTCTGTTCAAAGCTCAGTGAAGTTCTATGGTATGTGGAATCAACCACGTGTTAGTGTTATATAGCAGTAAATCATTATTTTATTTTTTACTATTTTTGTAGTTGTTCTGTTAGTTTTTGTTTTATATGGCCATATTTGTTTCTGAATAAACATGATTGATTTGATTTGATTTGATTTACTCTGTTTAATTAGAAACTTAAGTACCAGAAGATGTTAGAATTGAATCAGTTAAAAGTAATGAAAATAATCCTGTTGCTGCAAATTGCAAAATAAAGAAAGAATTATCATGGTAAACAAACAGTTTCTAAGTGTAACACGGGGGAAAGGGGCCCGGACCGTGGAAGAGGACGTGGTCGTAAAGCCAACTGGTAGACCTCTCAAATCCTAAACGGTCTAGTGTTTCCCAATTAAAAATACTCAAGTAAGTCTGGCTTAAAATGATGAAACGGAAGTAGTGTACAAAAATATTTATTTATTAATTCATTCTTTTTACAATATTAAAAATATACTTTATTATTCTAATTCTAAAATCTGGTAGTGCACAAAGCACAGGACAGAAGCAATCTGAGATTTAAACAAAAGAATAGAATAATTGCAAACCAAGTTAATAATCATGCAAATCAACACAGACTAATGTTAAACAAAACAAAAAAAGAAAAAGAAAGAAATCCCAAGTTGCGCCAGCCCCGCCTTATGACGCGGTGCCCAATCAGCTGATTTAAAATAACGTTCTGGTTCTGTGGTGTCTATGCTACCATTCTAGCTCTTCAGGACAACCTATGAGCCATTTAATAAACCTCTAAAAATGTGCATGCAGGTGAGAGCATAAAATACAACAGCGGCAGTCTGCGGCAATCTTAATCCCCACACGGAATACGTTTAGATGCTGCAGTGAACTGCTGAAACGCTCCCTTATCCATAGTCCAATCCTGGATCACAGAGCACACGACCAGCACTCGTCCATCCACGATCCAACTGTGCACAACAATGGATCTGACACACACTTAACTTGGCGTTCGCACCCGGTGCCTATATACGTTAATGAGCCCGGCTAACCAGAAATGACATCATGTTGCATTCAAGGGCCTGAAACGGGTGGGAATTTACAACTTCAAACAAACAGCCAATAAGATAAGATTCCTTCTAAATATATCGACAGAACTGTTCTCTGTCACGGTAAGAATATCCATCTAAATTACACTTAGATTGTACACAAAATAGTCATTTTTGTTAACTTTATTCAAGAGTTATCTGATTTACATCATATTCTAAATTTACATAATTTTTGACCAATCCTGTTCAAAGCTCAGTGAAGTTCTATGGTATGTGGAATCAACGACGCATTAGTGTTATATAGCAGTAAATCATTATTTTATTTTTTACTATTTTTGTAGTTGTTCTGTTAGTTTTTGTTTTATATGGCCATATTTGTTTCTGAATAAACATAATTGATTGATTTGATTTGATTTACTCTGTTTAATTAGAAACTTAAGTACCAGAAGATGTTAGAATTGAATCAGTTAAAAGTAATGAAAATAATCCTGTTGCTGCAAATTGCAAAATAAAGAAAGAATTATCATGGTAAACAAACAGCTTCTAAGTAAACCAAGTTATTTTCTCCTTTAAAACTAAATATTTTTAAATACGGGTTACTTGGGCAGCTCATTGTTGACCCACTCTGTTCTTGTATTAAAAAATGTTAAAGGTTGACAGAACATTTTAAAACACGTAATGTTGGAAGACATTATTGCTAATACTTGAGCACCAGCTAAAAAAGGCTAAACAAAGCATGCAATTAAATATGTTCTTTGCAATTAAATCCTAATTAATTAATCTACCTTTGTATTGTGAAACTAAATATATTATGCTCATTCATTAAAAGTAAGGAAAGGGAAATAAATATATTGTAAAATTGACAATGATACAAAAGAATTAGTATTTTAACTAAATCTTCTTAGGGTACAAAATTCATCTCTTTGCTGTGAGTTTTATTGTGTTTTTGTATTTTCTTTACTTCTACCATTTTGATTTATAATGTCTGCAAGTTTCTTCATTTACTGGTTGTGATTAGGTGGTTTTCATACTGCATAGTGTTTTATGTTGTATTTTTGCCCATTCTGTTTTTATTCTTAATTCTGTCTTAATATATTTTAGATTTTTATATATGTGCAACTCTATATACATATTTTGATTGCTTCCTCACTTTGCTGTTGTTACACTGAAATTTCCCCACTGTGGGACAATGAAAGATATTTCTATTCTATTGTATCAAGTTACACTCACAGATACAGAATCAAAAAATGCCAGAACAAAGTGGAGCTAACATGTATCAGATGTAAATGCACATGCTGCATATACTTTGTTCACAAAACATATTTGTAATCACATAAGCATCGCTGAGTGTTCACTGTGAAACTCTGAAAGATCAACTATATCTCTCCCTTAATGCAGTCGCTCTTATAGATTTGAGTTGAGTGTATTTGAGCTGAGCAAGCAGTGGGTTTTAATACCTGGTGCACATGTTGCTCCAGTTTCTCCAAAAAGACAGTCTTTTTGTAAAGATCACTTTCATGCTGGTAAAGATAAACAAGCTCTGCTAGAGCACTTTCCAAATACACCATTTTGAGTGAAATAGGGTTTGCACAATCCACAGCGAGTTACAGAAATTTGGAGGTGCACAAAAAAAATATTAATTTAGTGGGTGGGTTCTGTGCATCTTATTGTTATTTAGCTGAGTTCAACTTGTTGTCAGGAAGAAATACAGATTTTTTTCTATGCAATAATTCTAAAGGTATTGTTTTTAACAGTGTTTCAAATACAAAGTTATTGTTATTCCTGTTATTCACAAATCATATTTTTTCAATAATAGGAGATGCCAAGGAAGAAAAATACCTGAAGGAAATAATTCTTGAGGAGGTGGGTCAACAAGAAAGTGACCCAAAACTCTCTGAGATAGTGATGTTTGAAAGTGAGAAAAAGAACGTCATCACACCCAAAGATTTATTTACCAACAATAAATTTCTGATCTCCAAACATCCTCGTATGAACAAAAATGTACTGATGAAAGTAGCTCCTGGAATTGATAAAACATTTCAAACAAAAATGTTCATGAAGGACTGGGCAAAAGGAAACTCCAACAAACACATAAAGGCTTTAGTGACCTTTGATTTCACTGAGTTGAATTCAATGAAGGATGAAGGAAAAAGCATGGAATCTCTGCTGAATGATTTCTTCAAGACAAAAAATGCTGTTTTCAAAGATGACAAGAAAAAGATATGTTTCATTCTTGATGGGCTGGAAGAATGCACACTTCCTCTTGACTTTGAAAACAACAAAGAAGTTAAAGACTGGAAGAAGAAGAAGCATCAATGGATGAGCTGCTAACGAATCTGATCAAAGGAAATCTGTTTCCTGAATCTCATATTTTGATAATTTCTCAACCAATAGGAGTTGATAAGATTCCTTCTGAATATATCGACAGAGCTGTTCTCATTCACGGTAAGAATATCCATCTAAATTACACTTAGATTATACACAAAATAGTCTTTTTTGTTAACTTTATTCAAGAGTTATCTGATTTTACATCATATTCTAAATTTACATAATTTTTGACCAATTCTGTTCAAAGCTCAGTGAAGTTCTATGGTATGTGGAATCAACCACGTGTTAGTGTTATATAGCAGTAAATCATTATTTTATTTTTTACTATTTTTGTAGTTGTTCTGTTAGTTTTTGTTTTATATGGCCATATTTGTTTCTGAATAAACATGATTGATTTGATTTGATTTGATTTACTCTGTTTAATTATAAACTTAAGTACCAGAAGATGTTAGAATTGAATCAGTTAAAAGTAATGAAAATAATCCTGTTGCTGCAAATTGCAAAATAAAGAAAGAATTATCATGGTAAACAAACAGTTTCTAAGTGTAACACGGGGGAAAGGGGCCCGGACCGTGGAAGAGGACGTGGTCGTAAAGCCAACTGGTAGACCTCTCAAATCCTAAACGGTCTAGTGTTTCCCAATTAAAAATACTCAAGTAAGTCTGGCTTAAAATGATGAAACGGAAGTAGTACAAAAATATTTATTTATTAATTCATTTTTTACAATATTAAAAAATATACTTTATTATTCTAATTCTAAAATCTGGTAGTGCACAAAGCACAGGACAGAAGCAATCTGAGATTTAAACAAAAGAATAGAATAATTGCAAACCAAGTTAATAATCATGCAAATCAACACAGACTAATGTTAAACAAAACAAAAAAAAAAAAAGAAAGAAATCCCAAGTTGCGCCAGCCCCGCCTTATGACGCGGTGCCCAATCAGCTGATTTAAAATAACGTTCTGGTTGTGGTGTCTATGCTACCATTCTAGCTCTTCAGGACAACCTATGAGCCATTTAATAAACCTCTAAAAATGTGCATGCAGGTGAGAGCATAAAATACAACAGCGGCAGTCTGCGGCAATCTTAATCCCCACACGGAATACGTTTAGATGCTGCAGTGAAATGCTGAAACGCTCCCTTATCCATAGTCCAATCCTAGATCACAGAGCACACGACCAGCACTCGTCCATCCACGATCCAACTGTGCACAACAATGGATCTGACACACACTTAACTTGGCGTTCGCACCCGGTGCCTATATACGTTAATGAGCCCGGCTAACCAGAAATGACATCATGTTGCATTCAAGGGCCTGAAACGCGTGGGAATTTACAACTTCAAACAAACAGCCAATAAGATAAGATTCCTTCTAAATATATCGACAGAACTGTTCTCTGTCACGGTAAGAATATCCATCTAAATTACACTTAGATTGTACACAAAATAGTCATTTTTGTTAACTTTATTCAGAGTTATCTGATTTTACATCATATTCTAAATTTACATAATTTTTGACCAATCCTGTTCAAAGCTCAGTGAAGTTCTATGGTATGTGGAATCAACGACGCATTAGTGTTATATAGCAGTAAATCATTATTTTATTTTTTACTATTTTTGTAGTTGTTCTGTTAGTTTGTTTTATATGGCCATATTTGTTTCTGAATAAACATAATTGATTGATTTGATTTGATTTACTCTGTTTAATTAGAAACTTAAGTACCAGAAGATGTTAGAATTGAATCAGTTAAAAGTAATGAAAAAATAATCCTGTTGCTGCAAATTGCAAAATAAAGAAAGAATTATCATGGTAAACAAACAGCTTCTAAGTAAACCAAGTTATTTTCTCCTTTAAAACTAAATATTTTTAAATACGGGTTACTTGGGCAGCTCATTGTTGACCCACTCTGTTCTTGTATTAAAAAATGTTAAGGTTGACAGAACATTTTAAAACACGTAATGTTGGAAGACATTATTGCTAATACTTGAGCACCAGCTAAAAAAGGCTAACAAAGCATGCAATTAAATATGTTCTTTGCAATTAAATCCTAATTAATTAATCTACCTTTGTATTGTGAAACTAAATATATTATGCTCATTCATTAAAAGTAAGGAAAGGGAAATAAATATATTGTAAAATTGACAATGATACAAAAGAATTAGTATTTTAACTAAATCTTCTTAGGGTACAAAATTCATCTCTTTGCTGTGAGTTTTATTGTGTTTTTGTATTTTCTTACTTCTACCATTTTGATTTATAATGTCTGCAAGTTTCTTCATTTACTGGTTGTGATTAGGTGGTTTTCATACTGCATAGTGTTTTATGTTGTATTTTTGCCCATTCTGTTTTTATTCTTAATTCTGTCTTAATATATTTTAGATTTTTATATATGTGCAACTCTATACATATTTTGATTGCTTCCTCACTTTGCTGTTGTTACACTGAAATTTCCCCACTGTGGGACAATGAAAGATATTTCTATTCTATTGTATCAAGTTACACTCACAGATACAGAATCGAGGAAATGCCAGAACAAAGTGGAGCTAACATGTATCAGATGTAAATGCACATGCTGCATATACTTTGTTCACAAACATATTTGTAATCACATAAGCATCGCTGAGTGTTCAATGTGAAACTCTAAAAGATCAACTATATCTCTCCCTTAATTCAGTCGCTCTTATAGATTTGAGTTGAGTGTATTTGAGCTGAGCAAGCAGTGGGTTTTAATACCTGGTGCACATGTTGCTCCAGTTTCTCCAAAAAGACAGTCTTTTTGTAAAGATCACTTTCATGCTGGTAAAGATAAACAAGCTCTGCAAGAGCACTTTCCAAATGCACCATTTGAGTGAAATAGGGTTTGCACAATCCACAGCGAGTTACAGAAATTTGGAGGTGCACAAAAAAAATATTAATTTAGTGGGTGGGTTCTGTGCATCTTATTGTTATTTAGCTGAGTTTGACTTGTTGTCGGGAAGAAATACAGATTTTTTATGCAATAATTCTGAAGGTAGTGTTTTTAACAATGTTCAAATATGAAGTTACTGTTATTCTTGTTATTCACATGTCACATTTTTCAATGATAGGAGATGCCAAGGAAGAAAAATACCTGAAGGAAATAATTCTTGAGGAGGTGGGTCAACAAGAAAGTGACCCAAAACTCTCTGAGATAGTGATGTTTGAAAGTGGGAAAAAGAACCTAATCACACCCAAAGATTTATTTACCAACAATAAATCTCTGATCTCCAAACTTCCTCGTATGAACAATAATGTACTGATGGAAGGAGTTCCTGGTGTTGGTAAAACTTTCCAAACAAAAATGTTAATGAAGGACTGGGCAGAAGAAAACTCCAATAAACACTTAAAGGCTTTAGTGACCTTTGATTTCACTGAGTTGAATACAAAGCAGGATGAAAAAAAAAGCATGAAATCTCTGCTGAATGATTTCTTCAAGAAAAAAAATGCTGTTTTCAAAGATGACAAGAAAAAGATATGTTTCATTCTTGATGGTCTGGAAAAATGCACACTTCCTCTTGACTTTGAAAACAACAAGAAGTTAAAGACTTGAAGGAAGAAGCATCAATGGATGAGCTGCTAACGAATCTGATCAAAGGAAATCTGCTTCCTGAATCTCATATTTTGATAATTTCTCAACCAATAGGAGTTGATAAGATTCCTCCTGAATATATCAACAAAAACTGTTCAATGTCAAGGTAAGAATATTTATCATCTAAGTCAATTACTCTAAACTTAGCTTTTATAGATTTTTATTGGCTTTATTCAAAAGTTATATGATTACCTCCTTGTACACCTTTGTTTTATCTGATTAGAAACATATGAACAACAGAAGAAGTTGGAGTCATGTATGAGAAAAAGATTTCTCGAAGAAATCACTGATGAAAAAGATGAAATCAGTCACCAGAACAACAGAACATATCATCAGAAGAGAAAATGGTTCTGGAGAAAGAGAAAGTAAACAGAACAATTTTCCAATAGTGAATCAACTTCCTGAGATCTTCAAAGATGTGAAAGGAAAGAAAACTAGAACAGTGATGACCATTGGAGAAGCTGATATAGGAAAATCTTTTCACATGAAAAAATTTATAAAAGAATGGGCTAAAAAGAAAAATGAGAAAAGATCATTTTTCACCTGGATCACAAGTCAATTCTCTAGCCAGGCAAAACCTGCAGAACTTTTGTTTCTTATTAACTTCTCAATACTCAACTCGATAAAAAATAAAAACATTAGTTTCTTTGAGCTTCTTAATCACTTCTACAAGGAGACCAAAGATATCATCATCTCTGACTATTCCCAGTTAAATATTTTATTTATTTTGGATGAACTTGATGCATGTAGAGGTTTAGACTTTGAAAACAGTGAAGTCTTGACTGATATCAGAAAACAAACATCAGTCAATGTGTTACTAAACAAACCTTATCAGAGGAAACCTGCTGCCAGAGGCCAAGATCTGGATAACCTCTCGGCCTCCAGCTGCTGAGAAAATCCCTGATGGTTTTATTGACAGACTGACAGAAATACGAGGTAAGATCTGCTGATGCAAATTTATATTAAAATTTATAAAGTAATTAACCATGCATCTTTTCAAAATTAGTTTCAAGGATGGATATTTTCTTTTCCAGAGAGCTATGTATGTATACTAAATAAGTCTGAACAAAATTACTGTGTATTGCTTTGGGTTATAAAACTAACTCAGAAACTGACACTTAATATATTAAAAGTGAAGAAAGTTAATAAAAACCAAGATGAAAAATATATTTAGAAAAGCATCAGTTTCACTCTACACATGACAGATTAAACAAACAATAACTAACAGGCAAATGTGAAAAAAAAATGTAATTCTGAAAGAAATGTATGTAAACTGTAAAACCCAAGTCAAGTTAAAACAAATGAATTGGTAAAACTGATTGCATAAATTGATTTAAGTTTTGTAACTAAACTATTTTAGTTTATTTTATAATGTGATTACAATCCAAGGAACC